CTTGGAAGTTGGACGAAAATTTGTCACGTGATTCGCTCTGACGCGCTGATGGGCTACTGGGGCCGTAGTCTTTGCAGTATGCCAAGTTATGGCGAGTTGTAGGGGCCACGTAGGTCCGGTTTACAAAAAGGGGGGCGCCCGTCAGTGTATTCCTGTTTTTCGTGCGTTTGAGTCGAGGCCGTGATTTTTCGTCGTGAACGGCCGGAATACATCCATGCCAAGTTTTCGGAAATGGTCGTTTATTTCGTCGGAGTCCATGGAATTATTGTGCTGTATTTGTTGGACGCGTTTCGACAAAGAGCTGCTCATCGGTGGCCGCGAGACTTCCGTTGAATGTGACCGACCGCCTTCAACCTCGGCACTGTGTTTGCGTTGTTTTGTGCTGCCCGAATCGGATTACGCATCTATCACGACAGAGAGGTGCTCATCGGCGACCGCGAAACTTCCGCTGAATGTGAGCGACCGCCTTCATCTTCGACACTGTGGCTACGTTTCCATGGATGCGACCATGGCGCATCGAATCGAGATGTGACCAGTCACGCGCCCGCGATCCTCCTTTCCCTTCCTCGTCTACCCAATCATAGGCGGTTAATCTCGATTCGATTCGCTACGATCGCATCCATGTAAACTCAGCCTGTGTTTGTGGATTGTTCTGTGCTGACCGAATCGGATTATGCATCTATCACGGATTACATGAGATCGCTGTTTTATTTGTAAGTACTCTGCAAGCATGCTTCTGATTGTATTCCAAGGGGGCTATGTTCGACAAATGTTTCATTTCTCCCAAAAAGAAACGGAAGTGACGGAAGCGACGATATCGCGTTTGATTTTTGGAAGGTCAAAGGGCGAAAAAAGGTAACTTTCATCATTTGAACCTCTAACCAATTAAACGCGATATCGTCACTTCCGCCACTTCAGTTTATTTTTAGGAGTAAGGAAGCATTTGTCGAACATAGGCTCCCTGCTTCCGTTTCAATAGACCATTTTACGGTTTACAAACATGAACTGCCGCTTACGTCTATAGCAACTCCCGGTCGTACCGTCTTTGCAAGCCTGTCAGTTTTGTCCACGTCACCAGTGCAGGGAAGCATAAACGTCACAAGATAAGTACAGTTGGAGATTTAACGAGGGCCTTCGGTTGTAGAATTTGAAGGTAGTTATAAAACAATATTCGGTTGAAATATTTATGACCTTACACGCACGGACCGCCATTGGTTTAGAAGCGTCTCGGTCGTGGTGGAATTGCAAGGATAAAAGAGAACTATTTCTTTCAGTCTTGCCTTCGCCAAGTTTGATGACGTGCGCGTGAACGTAGCTTTGACCTTTGGCACGCTTGTAATTGCACGCACTTCCCGCATAAGCAGAGACATGGCTGCGGCCAGATGACCTGCTTGCAATCGTCTATAGAGAATTTTGTAGAACCTGTTAGAACCTTGATTAAAAATAAAAAGTGAACCAGGCATTTGAAGTCATTTTCTCGTGCACTCTTTTGGGTTATTACGCGCAACTTTATGGGTGTTGGTAATCGCGCCTTTTTTTATTTCCCTTTCTGGCGGTGATACACACAATTTAGAGGGCGTACTGTGCAGACATAACGCCCTAATAAAAAGGTGTACAGTAGAATCACACCCTAATTGAAAGGTGTTCGGAATAACGCCGTCCTTTAAGGGTGTTAGGGAAAAACACCCTAATTTAGGGGCGTTAGGAATAACGCCCTTTGTTTAGGGCGTTTTGCTACGCCCAAATGGGTGTTAGTTATAGGACAAGCCATTTACACCCACAAGGGTGTTACGATGTTTAGTGTGTACCTCGTCAGAGAGCACGCTGTCTTCGGAGGCTCGCTATCACTGGGATCGGCGCTTGGGCTTTCCTATTCAAATCGTCTTAGGTAAAACATAAGATACCCTGTGAATTTTCCTTGTTTTATGTGTGCCCATTACTTAATCGTGGCGTCCTACTGTATCCGTGTAACAATAACTCACATATATGGGGAACGTTTAAATATAAATAATTAATATTTTGCTCGGAAAATGAGTTTAGCGTCTAGGGTACTTATTGGCATGCTACGGATCATGCGTGGAATGTTTCTCATAATTAAGTATATATCTTCAGTAGAAAGTCAGCTTCTCGCGAACAGTCATGCGTTTGTGAAGTTGAATGTTTAAAAATGGCAGGATTTTCAGTTCATCAAACCAGAAATTCAATAAAAGAGCTAAAACCTGACACTCAATATTTTTGTGTCCATGTATAAACTCGTCTTTTTAATAATTTAACAAAGGTAAAGTCTAGTCATGGTGTAATATATAATTGCAATTTATACCCAATGAAGTTGTTTTTTTCATCCAGTAGCAGTTACAAAATTTTATCTACTTACATTGCATATATTTATCCGAGGAGATAGCAGGTCCGAGTTTGAGCTGCGAGGAGGAAAAGCCTTGAGAATGAGGAGCCGGTTTAGAAAAGACGAGCAACCTCTCGCTCCACAAGTTGGCGTCCCAAGTAGCACAACACACCGGGTTGGGGACGGGCCCCCGGTCTCGGTCTGCCGGTACGCTCTCTCCGGGCCGGGACCGCTAACGACCAACGAGGTCCAAAATGACCGGTCCCGAATGCCAGAATCCGGCCAGTACCGCGAACTAACAAGGGTCCCGTCATCGGGCTGCCAGTTCCATGTCCTGGCACGCCGACATCGGTGCCCCACCAAGTTCCAGGGAACCCCGGAAAGTTCCCATGGACGCCGTTGAGTAGCCGGGACCGGCCGAAGTCTATAATTTAAGACGGGCCGTTTTCGCCCCGTAGGCTTTAGCCTGCCATGTCGAGACGGGTGTGCCGAAAAGTTCCTGCCACAGGTATGCTTGGCCTGTGCTACGTGAACGCCTACCTCGCTGTTAAAACACCTGTTACACCTTTATCTGTCACCCTATGAATTACAGAAGGGGACACACAAAATTGTTACCGCGCGATTGTTTATTGTCAATTGATGGGAAGCTGCTGCTCGGTTCATCACCAGGTGGGAGCAGAGCAGGCTGGATGAAAGCGGCTGTTTGTATTCAGGAAGGGGAGTTTTCATCAGTCTTTTCGCCCATCCGACCCAGACAGTAACAGCTTAGCTTCTTCTTAACCAGGTCGATGATGCACTTTAGAATCGAGTCTTTATTACTGCGCCTCCCAAAATAATCGTCGGATGACAGATCAGTTGAATGATAGGGCAAATCAAACATTGGGTACCAGTTGTAAACGAGACACCGGTCACTTATTGTGACCGGTGCGATGTGTGATAGCGTATTCGTCATAACTCTGAGGTAATATGGATGAGTAAAAAATCGTTATGAATAGCATTTCTCGACATTAAAGCAGCGCACGACAATGTAAGTCACGAAAAACTCTGGGTAATGCTATGAAAGTATGATTTAGATGCACATTTAATTAGTCTTTTACAAAGGTATGTAGAAATGACGAGGTTGTTGCAACATGGCAGGCTGAAATCATAGAACCGACGGAAATAGAAAGAGGACTCAGGCAGGGTTGTCCCCTCTCACCTCTACATTTTATGACATACCTGAATAGAATAAAAAAAGAAACGAGAAGATTGCAAATCAGGTTTTGATATGTCATATATGAAAAGAAAGGCAGAAGAAAACCTCGTTATACCAGGAATGTTCTACGCAGATGACATTGCACTGTTAGCAGATAGCCTGGATAAGTTACAGGAGCTGATTAAGACATATGGTGATGCCTGAAATTCAGTAGCGTCAAGTTGGGAATAATGGTTTATAAAGAGGAGAAAGGGGATGTGCTCAACATTCAAGATGTCTTAATAGAACACGCAGAGAAGTATAAGTAACTAGAAGTATGGTTGCATGAGGAAAAACAATACTTAGAAGAACAGAAAAAATGTGCTTAAGAAAAAAAATGAATGCAGCAATTATGAAGCATAAGGCACCAGGGAATTACCATACATATGAAGTTATTAAAAGAATATGGAAAGGAGTCATGGTGCCGGGGTTTCCTTTTTACAATGCGGTATTGTGCATAAAATCTGAGGTCCAGTCGAGCTTAGAGACCCGGCAGAGGAACGTCGACAGACTGGCATTAGGGGCGCAGGGGATTACACTGAATGAAGGAGTGCAAGGAGACATGGCCTGGACATCTTTCCAGGCCAGAGACGCAACCAGTAGTTGAAATTTGAATAAAGGCTAGACATAATTGAGGATTCGCGATGGGCGAAAAAGGTCTATAAGCATCTATACATGAAAAGTTTGAGCACTAAATTGACACACCAAACCGGAAAACAAAAACACTAGTCATCCTCAAATGATATTAATAAATGAGGAGGCTTGTAATTGTGCAGCGTCTGTGAAAGAATTTTTTGTCTTCCTTCACTCAACCTAATCTGAGTAGAAGGAGGAGGAACGTGACTAATGAGTGAAAACGTACACATGTAGGAAATTTAGGTTTTAATGTAGGCGTTCACTTGGAAGCAGAGGATCCACCAGAAAAATCAAAGCCCCTGCACTGGAACTTTAATATTGCCATAGTAAAATCAAGTGCAGAAAGATATTTGGCAAAAGTGCTGCGTTAGCATTCGGCTAGGCTTCGTGTCCAGTTAATACGTCGAAGGACACTCAGCGCCGGATTGCATTGCTGAGATGGTGCAATCCGAGAGGGATTACGTTTGCTACGTTACGTGGAGCAAGAGAAGGCTGTTAAAAAGCTCTGATCATTCCAGGTGGTGTTGAAACAGAGCTTCGCTAAGCTGAACATAAGTGCTCTTCGGGTTTCTTTGTCTCACTACCTTACCCAGAGTTCAGCAAGGGACCATAAACAGAGCACGAACGTCAAACGGAGTGCAGCAGATTTTTGAAGAACAAGGGTAGCACAATTTAGTGAGGGCAAGTAATTACATATCAGCTTGTGGTGCTTCATGGACGATAACGGTACACTCAGATGCTACCAATAAACAAAACAAAAATTGTCCTAACATAAAGCTAAGCTGAACGTTTTTAAAACTTGATTTTTTTATTTGTTGTATCACATATATTTACGCTCTTGACGTTTAGAGTCTGTGAAACTTGATCCACGGGCCGTTCGCTGGCGTAGACATCATGCCGTAGGGATCCATGTCCAATATTCCCTGTGAAAAACGTAAACGGTACACCATCCTTTCAGTGGAAGGTCTTCTTGGCCACATCAGCATTTTAATGCGATCTAGCCAACAAGTTAGCGCCCGTTATTTTGATATCAAAGTTTTGATTTGCTTATTTCTTGTACCATACACATCCTAACCATTGGAAGGAATTCTTGGAGTGAAGGCTATGAAAACTTGCATACGTTACAGCACTCTAAAATGCTGTTCGTCTACTTTCCCGCAAAACACTTGAGAGAGTAAATTGTTGCATTCTAGGGAGGGTAATCAGCGAAAGACACGGCTCACGATATGTTTACATTTAAAAATAAACTAGTCCGTTCTGTAACACCGATTGTAATTAAAACACAGGAACATCATTCTTAGCGTCACAGTGCATATTGTTTTAAAAGTCTATTTCGGGTCTCGTCATTCGCCGAGCTCTTTTCATGGGCTTTGCGAGGAAGAAGACGCACTGGATATTTTATAATCAAGGCCGTCTCTGTTGTATGTCTGCTCTTTTCTTTTTTTTGAAACGGCTGTTTAAATTAAAGCCAATGTGAAATTAACATGCCTCTCATGCGAGCCGTCAAACCTAATCTACGCAGTGTGCCCCTGTAGCTTTCAAGGTTTGAGAAACGCCCTGGGGAAAAAATCGGATATTTTTAGGTCGCGTTTCTGTTGTGCATCACGTCGTGTTCTTTCAAGCGCTTGGTTAGTGCCATTGGACAGACGCTGTCGAACGCCGACAGACGCTAGTTTACGCCCGTGAATCGTGCATCATGGGTCTCTAGGACGCCGCTTCACGTCAAACCTACATGCTCGCGTTTCGAGGACGCTAGCGGAGGCGCCTCTTTTGTAGCCGCGCCTCGTGGACGCTACAGCGTCCCTTTGCCGAGATAAACAGGTCTATTGTCATTGAAGACTTCAGTGGCAATAGGCTCTGCTTGGCGTGGGGCGAGGTTTCAGCATTTTATTATAGCTCCTCAGTCAATGAGGTTGATGCTTCAGCTAATAAAAACTCCGAGGAACGAATTACAAAGCAAGAAGCGTGGACACAAACACCACGCCCGGCGCTCTTTAATCTGGCTGCTAGTTACCATAACAAAATACACAATATGTGGATCCTTAGCACCGCATCCTCAATCTTGTATGACAGGGATTGTCAATACATGTTAATCAGTAACCTAGTTCTACATTTTTAACCCATCCTACTTCAGGGAACTTGCTAAAGTAAACAAACTACAGGAAGATGAAAATGCAGCCGTGGCCGATAATGCGGTTTTATGCTGTTTTTCTTATACGTTCTTTGACCTACTTATTGGCAAATTTTATCGCTCCGTATTCAATGAGGCTGCATCTCAGCGACTACGGAGCGATAATAAGATGCGTGGGTCTCGGCCACTGATCTCCCTTGTAGTAGGCTCCAACGCCGACCGCAAGTTCGTCTGCTTCTTTTAAAGGGGTTGGGGTGACGTCCGAACATCAAGCTCTGATTGGCTCTGATTAAAAGATAGTGGTTAGACTTCAAGGCAGCTTTCCTTGAGGTCTATCCACTATCCTGCAATCAAGGCCAATCAGAGCTCGGCCTTCTGACGTCACCACAACCCCTGCAAAAGATGTCAGAACGCCAAGCTCTTATCGGCCAATTGCAAAAAAAAAAGTCGGTGGACGTCGAGGCATCTACCATTGACGTCTACCCACTATCCTTTCAATATTAAAAGCCAATCAGAACTCGGCATCTTTCTGATGTCACTGCCACTGCTGCGCAAGAAGCGAACGACTTGCACTCCGCATAGCCTGTCTATGCCTTCGATGAAATATAGGGTGGTTCAAGTCACCAGGCTCGATCTAAAATGGACCGTAAAAATCGACGCCTGCACGTAGCAATGTAAACTTTTCGTCAAAGGTGTAATTCACAGGTCGGTTTTTTCTTGTAAAATTACGAAGCGTAGCTTTCTTTCTGTAAAAAATTAAGGCCAAGAAACTTTAAGGGTCTACGACGGGCAGCAACGCAGACGACAGGGGTTCAGTAGCGGGGTGTGTTTGGCGTTCGTATTGATAGATGGCGTTACATCCTTATCGCGACGGCTGTCGACCACCGAGGTTTATTAAAATGAAAATCATCTTTTTGAAATGCACCTTCGGTTAAAAAATAAATGCGAAAAATAAAAGTAAAACTTAAAGTAAAAAAACGCGTCTGCATAACGGCGGCGCTTTTGCTGCCAACGGATTTCGTCTGCGTGTCGTCTGCTATCTTTCGCCGGTCGGCTGCAACTTCAGACGCTGCTCCCGACGCCATCTATCAAGACGAACGGCAAACACAGCCCGCTAGTGGACTTGGTCGTCTGGGTCACCGCCCGCCGTAGACCCTGGCAAGTTTCTTGGCCCTATTTTTACTACGAGGGAACTTCGGTTTGTAATTTCACAAGAAAAAAAAAACTCTGAAATATACCTTTGACGAAAAGTTTAGATAGGTACGTGGAGGCGTCGATTTTTACGGTCCATTCTAGATCGAGCCTGGTCACTTGAACCACCGCACGACCCAGTTAGGAAGCTCTTTGATTCAAGGTACCCATGAAACTATGAAATACAGCTGGCTGGGCCTAGCTAGTACGACTCTGACGACAATGTCTGTGCCTTTCCTCTCAAAACTTCGTATCTAATAGAGCCAGGCAGCGCTGCCTAGCTTACGTCAGCATTGCTTTTAGGGGGTTATGCCACGTCACAGGACGAGCGCGGTGCTAGCATGAGCCGACGTCAAGACAGACGCGCTTGCCGCTTTGCGGGCGTCTCTGGGCGAGCTTCAGCCGATTTGTCACGACGTATGTGGTGGATCCACTAACAATGACGCCATACTCAGGTCTCTGTCTTCTAGGTGGCATGGGTCTAGCACACCGGGCCTTCATTTACTTCATCATGCGTACGGAGACTAACTGAGAACAATTGAAGTAGCGGAGAACTACGGACAAGTTCTCTTATCTTGGTGCTTTGAACTCTTCCGCGAGCTGTTCGCGGTGTCGCGACATTTTCCAAACAAAGCCTCTCTATGGGTGGTTTATCTATCATTTAAATATTGGAAGTGCGGTCTGCTGGAAACATGTGCAAAAAAAAAAAAAAAAATAAGGGCAAACTCCTTTTTTGAATGGACAGCATAAAAAAGCGGCCTAGAATATGGTTGGCGCTGCTACTCACAGAAAGCACAACATTGAACGAAAACTTCAAAGCTTATTCTAGATGAACACAGGAAAGGAGATTCAGCGGATCCGAGTGTGTGCGATAGGTACACCATCCGTGAGTATCAAGTTCAACCAGACGGTTTTTGTGGCCGCTTTCTCCTTCCCGTACATAGAAATGAGTTTTTCTTTTTTGCATTTGTGTCCGGAATTTCAAATTCGCAAAAGTTTAGTATGATGAATGCGCCAGCTAAGGACACCTTTCTGAACAGTTTATTTGTACCGTATTGTCTGGGCTATAGGGTGTGCAAGTTCGTCGTAAATCCCGGACCTCGTGCGTTTGTCCAGCCTCCAAGTCCGCCTACGTGTTTGTCCCCCCCCCCCCCCCCCCCCCCCCGACCTCAACCAATCATGGTGTACGCTTGGCTTCCTCGTCATCGTGCGTATCCTGCACGTTCTCAAGGATTCCTTCTGATTCTACCTCGAGCTCCTTCTTGAGGTTAGGTGCTGTAATGACTCCTTGACGAGCACTTCCTTGACGTATAATCAGCACCCGGTGTATAGTCCGCAGTGGCAAATTTGAGCTCAAAAATAAAAGTAATTTCTTTGGATATTTCGCATCCAGTGAATAATCCGCACGCCGTGGATAATCGGCGTATGGTGCTTAGTTGACTCGAAAATATTCTCATGCAAGGTGTGCCGTGTATAAGAGAGGTGTGTCTTGTTAGCTCACAAAGATGCCTCTATTATACATAAATCACCATAAACTTAATCTTTCATTCACAAAATCCGTCACGTCTCGTCATAATGAACTTACCTTACAAGAATAGAAAGTTGGACGAGTTGGTAAGAATCCATTTAAAAAACAGCGCGAAGGACACACGGACAAGAAGGAGAGACACAGGACGAGGCGCTGACTATCAACTATATATTTAGAAGAAACACAGAGAAATTCACGCGAGGACGACTTCGTCTTTTTCCTCTTCCACCAGTCATTCACCATTTTGCACGCAACATTGTAAATCATAACAAATTGAAACACACCAGTACACTAAATCACACCAGCACAGGTATACGTCCTCGCGTCTTCTTCCTCATTTCCTCTTTCTTCGATCTTCAATCTCGATCTTCAAGTCTCTGGTCATCCCATGTCCATAAAAACCATCTCACTGTCCACTAGGTTAATGGATGGTTGGCTCACGCACCCGGGTTTTCGTTTTGCTATATGGTAAGCTTCTACTACCTCCCTCGATAGCTGGTCTTGTGTTTAAACAGCACGTTTGTGTCGCTAAATCGTGGCTGACATCCACAATCCCGGCAGTGGACAGCTAAATGGGAGTACGCGTTACCTTTTAATGAACTGTGGTGCTCGCGTAGGCGAATGTTAAGACAACGTCCCGTCTGACCTATATAAGAGTGACCGCATGAGAAAGGCATTTCATATACGGTCCCCCGTATATGAAATACCTTTCTCATGCGGCCACTCTTATATAGGTCAGACGAGACGTTGTCTTAACATTCGCCTACGCGAGCACCACAGTTCATTAAAAGGTAACGCGTACTCCCATTTAGCTGTCCACTGCCGGGATTGTGGATGTCAGCCACGATTTAGCGACACGAACGTGCTGTTTAAACACAAAGACCAGCTATCGAGGGAGGTAGTAGAAGCTTACCATATAGCAAAACGAAAACCCGAGTGCGTGAGCCAACCATCCATTAACCTAGTGGACAGTGAGATGGTTTTTATGGACATGGGATGACCAGAGACTTGAAGATCGAGATTGAAGATCGAAGAAAGAGGAAAGGAGGAAAAAGACGCGAGGACGTATACCTGTGCTGGTGTGATTTAGTGTACTGGTGTGTTTCAATTTGTTATGATTTACAATGTTGCGTGCAAAATGGGGAATGACTGGTGGAAGAGGAAAAATACGAAGTCGTCCTCGCGTGAATTTCTCTGTGTTTCTTCTAAATATATAGTTGATAGTCAGCGCCTCGTCCTGTGTCTCTCCTTCTTGCCCGTGTGTCCTTCGCGCTGTTTTTTAAATGAACTACATTGAGAAACAAAATTACTGTATAGTCCAACCGCGTTGATAGTTTGCACAGCCGAAAATTTAAACATTTAAACATGGATAGTCTACCGACTATAGGACGGAAAATTACGGTACTTAATTTGTTCTCTTTCATAAGCGGTCTTTTTAAGGTAGAATAGTACTTGCAAAACTCGTATTTATGCCTCACAAACTAGCCCAAGCGCCTGATTCTTCAGAGTGTTTTTCCACGGATATATTTCGCTAACCAAGAAGTATGTGGATGGCATTTAAAATGCTCTCAATAATTGACCTGCATAATTCTTATGACACCATAATTAGTATAAATCAAAGTTCATGGTGGATGAAGGCGCTCTATGATGCTTCAGGTTAGTCCTTAAGGCTGTGATACATTTTTTTTTAAAGCGCTGCTCTTAGGCGCCCGTTTCCGGCTTGAGCGGCGTCGCCGTCGCCATTGGCGTCGCCGTTGCCGTTGGTGTCGCCGTCGGCGTAACCGCGTGATGCATTATGAGAAATGTCCCATAATGCACCACGCGGGGAGGAGGACGACGGCGAGGAGGGCGAGGGGAAGGGTTGGAAGAGGGAGAGAGGAGGAGCGGGAGGAGGAGGGGATGAGAGTAGGGAGAGGAGGAGCGGATAGAGGAGGGGGAGGAGGCAGGATGAGGGGGAGTGGAGGGTGGGAGCTTAAAGGAGGAGAGAAGGGGAGGAGGAGGGAGGAAGGGTATACCCTCCCCTCAGTACCCTTCCCTCCTTCTCCTCAAGAGCTTCGCTCCAATTCAGCGTTACAGGGTGTTGTAAACGTCTTTCATTTTTTTTTAATTTTGTTTTTACAGCATTCGAGATGACGCATACCTTCTGAGTTTCTCCAAGATCGAATCGAAAGCTTTGAACCATTCTTGCAAGGGTGTAACGAAGTTCGAGAACGGCCATCATGTATCCGACACAATTCCGGGGTCCGTGGCCGAAAGGCTGGAACGCCATCTTGTGAAAGTTTCCTATATTTTCTGGACTGAACCTGAAAATATTAATAAGGATCAGTTTGATTGATATATGAGTGCTGCAGTAGCATAGTGGTTCGGCCCAATTTTTTTTTTTTTTTGTCAGAGAAGTTTGGGTCTTTAAAGGGGTTATGACACGCTAAAAGTAAAATATGAGATTACAATACTGCTAAGACCCATTGTATGTTCCTATAATCCTGTTAAATTTGTTTTGAAAATGGCGCGATAGTTTAGTGGATAAATCGATCCGGGCGAAGTTGGAGACTGGCTACGTAGCCAGCCCCCCACGCGGTGTCCCCTTTCGCGCCCTCACAGACTTGGCTTTCTTAGCATCTCGAGCTTCAGCTTCCTCGTTTATCTTCCGCGTTTCGAGAATGCGGTCCGTGACGATTACGTCTACGGCATCGCTCGCCTTGTCAAAATGTTCGACAATGAACACAGCAGCAATAAAAGTGATTGCTATCAAGAAAACTTGGAAGTTGTTCATTTTTGACTGCGACTCGCTGGCTACCGGCTCCAGTGACAGCGAGTTACGGACGAACTCGCCGTGGTCACCGTCGTCTGGGAATATCTCGCAGGCGACAGGATAGAAGATGAACGGACCGGGGGCGAGAGCGAGAATATCGTTGGGGTTACCGAGTTGCGTGAGCGGTTTTAATCGTACCGCCGCGAGGAGAGCTGGGGCGATCATGGGGGCGCCTAAAATGAGAGAAGGTTCATGATCACGTGGTTTATGAATACCAAGGCGTGACTAACTTGGGCAGTGTTGCCTGATCGCCAGATGAAAATGATAAAATTCGTAAATTGATCATTGAAATTACCAGAGCTCGAAAAATCGCGTAACTTTGTGTATTTAACAAGTAGCCTAAGATCATTCCATTTTAAGAATAATCTATCCGTTTCATTTTTGTGTCATAACCCCTTTAGAGACCCTAAAAAGTCAAGTTAGAGCCAAGCTTCGCCTTTTTTTGTCAAGGTCTCTATCTTGGCTCAAATTAGCAGAACATCCCGACCGAAAAACCCATTATAACATTTTTACTATCTGGGCTATAAAACTGGACATGAACTGGGATTGTTTCTGGAAACATAAAATCTAGATTGACGACAAAGCTGTTGGAGCGCTTAAGTGGTTCGTAATAAGCCATATCACTGGCACGAGGACATCGAAGACGAGGAGGAAATCGGCCAGAGACGTCTTAAAAAGGAGCGCGTGGCAAGGAGCTGGCGGCCGGGGGAGCGCGTGGCCTGGGCGCGAGACGAGGCTCGTGCTTGGAACGGTTGAAAACGACACGTCAGATCGCATCGCTTGCAGCTTGTAGATGTATGTAAATAAAAGTTTGCTTGAACTTAACCATCGACGACTACCAGAGGTTCCTACACTGGTGCCGAAACCCGGGAAGAACGACTGAACGAAGGGAACCTGGTGGTTTACAGCAATTTTTCATCAAGCCAAGCCAGAACAATCGACGATCATGGACGTCCTCAAGAAAAAACGGAAGACGCATCGGATGCAAGTGACACGACTCACTGGTGAGGCCGATGCGTTACTACTCTTAGCTACGCCAAGCGTCAACGACCTCGAGGTTCTAATCGTCTGGCCCGCGACCAACTGAACGACGTGGACGCGGCGATCGAACCTCTGATCACGGGGCAAGATGCAGAAGCAAAGTTCACTCACGCGATCGAGTATTCGGACAAGATTGTCACGTACCTCACCAAACTCAAACAAAAGATGAAGAGCGCGGAGGGCAGCCACCCAGCAAGGGGAACATCGAACGGAGATCGGAACGGAGGATCCTCGGTGGCATCAAAAATCAAACTCCCAAAATTGAAACTAATCCAATTCAACGGGCACCTAAAGGACTGGCAACCCTTCTGGCAGCAATTCGATACCGCCATTCATCAAAATCCGGAACTCACGCCGTCAGAAAAGTTCAACTATCTGCGATCAGCGCTGACCGGCGATGGAGCAGCCGCCATCGGTGGATTGCAGCCGACCGCTGAGTGTTACGCAGACGCCATCGAGCTCCTGCAGTAGCGGTTAGGGAAGCAAGAGACGCTTATCCAGGACCACATGGAACGTCTCATGGACATACAGCCAGAGCCACCACAACGGAACACCCGAGCCCTACGGCGTTCATACGACACTCTACAGGCGCACATCAGAGGCCTTAGAGCGTTAGGGGTGGGCGAAGAGGCGTATGGAGCTATGCTCTACACAGTTCTTTTGCGAGTGCTACCGAGAGATATCACTCTCGATTTCAACCGGAAGATGTCGGCGGAGGAGACCGGGAATGCCAACGCCGCAAGGGCATCAATGACAGACGCCAGTTTAGAATCCGCCCCACAGCAAGTACACCTGAGGGCTCTGCGGTTTCTCCTCGACTCACGACGCATCGAGGTGGAGAGCCGCGAAAGGGCATCAAAGCACCAGCTGGAAGACGCCGTTGGTAAGCCCAGACCTTCTTCTTTGACGCATAGCTTTGTGAAGAGGTCAACGATCAACACTCAGACTCGGAGTTCCACCGCGGCGGCATTGCACGGCAGTGTGGACGTCTTAGAGTGCTTGCTTTGCAAGTCAAAAGCGCACCGAACACCGGAATGTAACGCAAGAATCGGGCTAGCGGAGAAGAAGCGTAGGTTGCAAGCAGACCGGAGGTGCTTCCGCTGCACGAAGGCCAATCACATGGCAAGATTATGTCGAGGAGCACCCAGCTGTGGCAGATGTCAAGGCAGACACGCGTCCACTATGTGCGACCCGAATTACGCGCCGGGAAAAACGTCCACCAGATCGAATGAGACAGAACCGAAGGAACCGGCACCGGTCGCTATGCATGTGCGTGGTAGGAACAGCAAGCCGGCAGTGCTCCTACAAACGGTTACTGCGTGGGCAGAAGGTACAAACAGAAGGAAGCTTGCCCGTATTATCTTCGACAGCGGCAGTCAGCGCTCCTTCATAACTGAAGAACTGTCTCAGCGACTGGACTGCAAATTGCTCGGGACAGAGATCCTCACAATAGGCGTGTTCGGGGGCGAAAGCACTGAACGTACGTTTCGCAGGGTTCAAGTAACTTTGCGAGACCAACACTGCAACAAAAGATATGACATCGACGCTCTCGAGACACCTACCATATGTGAGCTGGACTTTCCGAGCCCAGATGAAGCCATCGTGGCAACTTTAGAGGAACTTGGCTGTCTCGTGGGAGACAACATGACCGGACTGGAACAACGCGGCGTCGACATACTGCTGGGATCAGACCACTACTGGGGGTGCATCACAGGAAGAATTCATAGACTGAGCGGATGTTTGACTGCAGTAGAAACTGCATTCGGTTGGGCGGTCCAGGGACGGACAGGCTCGGAATCGACCATCGTGAGTTGCTCCCAGGCGACCGCGCTAATAGCAACGCTGCAGGATCTAGAAGCCACATCGGTTCTCCGACATTTCTGGGAGCTAGAAAGCGTGGGAGTTACCGACCCGCCAGTAGAGGATCCCTCGGACAGCGCCGTGAGACGAGAGTTCGAAGCCAACATTACGAAGACCGCCGGTAGATACGAAGTGGGCCTTCCATGGAAATCGGACGTAAGGCTGGCAGACAACATGGAGGTGGCAAGAAGGAGGTTGGAGAATCTACGTAAGAAGTTGACCAAAATTCCCGATTTCCTACAGAAGTATGACGAAGCGATTCGGCAATACCAAGTCAACGACATGGTGGAGAGGGTCGATGAAGAAACACAGAACGAAGGTGCGGCGAGGGTGTATTACATGCCCCACCAGGCTGTTCTCCGCGAGAACAGCAGCACCACCAAACTTAGGATTGTGTTTGACGCTTCCTCTCACGGCGCAAACTGTATATCCCTGAACGAAAACTTGGAGAGTGGACCGAACATGAATCCAAATCTCGTCGCCCTACTTCTGAGGTTTAGGACGCACCCAGTAGCGTTAGTGGTGGATGTGGAGAAGGCTTTCCTGCAGATCGGAGTCAAGGCGGAGGATCGTGACGCACTGCGGTACCTCTGGTACAAGCAACCGCCGATCCAAAATCAACCGGTACCAGAGGTAGAGACATGGCGAATGACGAGGGTGACTTTCGGTGCAACGTCAAGCCCGTTCCTTTTGGCGGCTACCCTGCGGCACCATTTCGCGGCGATGGAGAACACATACCCGACAACGGCCGAACAATTAAGCAAGTCTGCATATGTTGATGATCTGTTGACCGGAGCGAGCAACGAAGACGAGGCTAAGAAGTTGTACGCCGAGGCGAACGAGGTGTTTAGGCAGGCCGGTATGAGACTCCACAAGTGGGGTTCAAATAGTGCATCACTAGCGGAGGTGTTCGAGGAGGACGGCGCAGGCCAAAAACCACTCGGACAAGTCGCGAACGTGCTCAAGGTGTTCGGAGTGACTTGGGAACCCAAAGAGGACAGTCTCATGTTTTCGCCGGAGCACGTGATGGAGACTGCTCGCCACCAAGAAAATACGAAGCGCTTCGTGCTGCAAACGACAGCTCGCCTTTACGACCGTCTGGGATTCTTGGCACCCTTCGTCGTGAGAGCCAAGGTCTTGTTCCAGGAAATCTGGAAACTAAACCTGTACTGGGACGATGTGCTACCAGATCACCTGCAAGGCGAGTGGACCGGGTGATGCAGCGAACTTGTCGAGCTAGAAAGGGTCAAGATCCCAAGGTTTTGCGACGACGGATTGCAAGGCAAGGTGACCCACCGATCATTGCATATCTTCGCCGACGCCAGCACCGCCGCCTACGGTGCCATGGTCTACCTTCGCACTACCAACGACGCAGGAGCGACGACGACGACGTTATTGCTCGCAAAAGGCCGAGTTGCGCCCCTCAAGACTGTCACACTGGCGAGATTGGAACTGATGGCCAGCTTGATCGCCTCAACGCTGTCCAAATACGTTCAAACCTGTCTTGAGCTTGAGGTGAAGGAGGTTCACTTGTGTACGGATTCAATGATAACGCTTTACTGGATCAGGGGAGAGGCCTCCCGATGGAAGCTGTTCGTCAAGAATCGAGTGCAAGAGATCCAGAGAAATTGTGAAGGCGCGACGTGGCACCACTGCCCGGGAAAAGAATATCCCGCTGACCTCATGACACGAAGTCTGACCGCATTCCAGTTGGTCTCCAGTTCACTGTGGTGGTCGGGGCCGAGTTGGTTGCCACTGCCAGCGACAGAATGGCCCAAGGAAAGGTGCGGAGAAGTCCCTCGAGACGCCCTCGAGGAGAGAGGATCGAGAGCAGAAGCGTTTGAAGTCACAGTAACGCCCATTCCAGAGTTGATCGATATCTCGCGATTCAGCTCTGCTTCAAGGATCAATAGAACAACGGCTTGGATTTTTCGATTTCTCCACAACGTCAGGTCAACTGAAAGACGAACGGGACCACTGACAGCCGAGGAGATCGAGGCAGCGCGAACTCACTGGATAAAAGGAGGCGCAGCGCTCGGCGTTCGCTACCGAGCTTCGCCTTCCAAGACTTCGCCACTTTCATCGATCAGCGTGGAGTACTTCGCATTCGAAGTCGCCTCCAGTCCGTCAGCATGACGTATGACGAACGAAACCCGATCGTCCTGCCCAAGCAGCATCGATATTCAGCCTTGCTGGCAATCGACGCGCACCGACAGCTGCTGCACGCGGGAGTCAGACATACTCTCGTGCGGCTCCGTAACCAGTATTGGATTCTGCGGGGCCGAGAGCTGGTGAAGAAAGTGGTGCGTGCCTGCGAGACCAGTCAGCGCTTTAGCGCGACCCCCGCGAGTGCCCCCACGGGACCCCTGCCGGATGCCCGGACAACACGAGCGGACCCTTTCGAGGTAGTCGGCACGGACTTTGCGGGCCCCCTCTACGTCAAGGGCAAGGACCTCACATGCAAGTCCTACGTGGTGCTGTTCACGTGTGCAGTCACCCGGGCTGTGCACCTGGAGTTGGTTCCAGACCTGTCGACCCGGAGCTTTCTCTTTGCCTTCCGTCGATTTGTGTCGCGCCGAGGGCTGTGCCGCGTAATTTATTCCGACAATGCGTTGACCTTCAAACGAGCGTCGAAGGAACTCACGGAACTGTGGAAGACGTTGCGCCACCCAGACGTAGTCAACCACTTTGCGAACGCGGGTATCCAGTGGAGGTTTATTGTCGAGAGAGCCCCATGGTGGGGAGGATTTTACGAGAGGCTTGTGCGCTCGGTAAAGGTGTCTTTAAGAAAGGTTATCGGAAGGAACTGTCTGGACACAGAGGAATTGACCACCGTTCTGATTGAGGTAGAGGCCGTGTTGAATTCGCGGCCATTAACGTTTGTGCACGACGCGGTCGGAGAGGGGACCCCGCTGACGCCGGCCAGTTTCCTAGTTGGAAGGCGGCTGACGACACTTCCGCCGACGGGTTGGGACACGTTCGCTTCCACACCGGAGGAGCTTCGCGTGCTCTGGCGGCAGCGAAAACAACTGCTTAACCGATTTTGGGGAGCATGGAGGGAAGAGTATCTTCGAGAACTCAGATCAGCGTACGCCATTCAGAACAGGCAGTCTGCGCCCATCAGAGAGGGTCAAATTGTTATGTTAAAAGAGCCGCTTCCACGCCTGCTATGGAAGCTCGGGCGAGTAGAAAGAGTGTTCCCCGGCCGAGATTCTCGGATCTGGTCGTGTGAGATCCGAGTGCATCGCGGCACCATATTGCGAAGGCCAGTGCAGCTTGTGTATCCGTTGGAGTTAATGGAAGTTTAGAATGGACTTCCATCCATTCGGTGGGGAGTGTGTTGGAGCGTTTAAGTGGTTCGTAATAAGCCATATCACTGGCACAAGGACATCGAAGACGAGGAGGAAATCGGCCAGAGACGTCTTAAAAAGGAGCGCGTGGCAAGGAGCTGGCGGCCGGGGGAGCGCGTGGCCTGGGCTCGAGACGAGGCTCGTGCTTGGAACGGTTCGGAACGACACGTCAGATCGCATCGCTTGCAGCTTTTAGATGTATGTAAATAAAAGTTTGCTTGAACTTAACCATCGACGACTACCAGAGCTTCCTACAAAAGCGATAATAATAAAAAAATTCCCTGAAACCCCGATAGAATCCAGAGAAATTTCTAGTTCCATAATCGAGATAGCAAAAAGTTATACGGGGTTCTTTGGTAGAGATATGCCAAATTTAGGCTATAGTTGTGGTAGTTTAGATGTTATCTGGCATCTTTGGATCTAACATGCAAAACATGTGCTAGACATAGGCCTCACTTCCGGCTGTTTGGCTTTCAAGTGCAACTTGGGGCATAATTGTCAAACAAGTGCTAGATTTAGGCTTTATTGTTGGCGAGTCGGTTTATACGTGCATACTGGAATCAGGAGTGTCACTTCATAAATTATCTGGCGAGCAAAAAAACAAAAAACAAAAAAATAATAGTAGCACTACAGAAAAATACTCCGGCAGTAGCGACTTCGAGCAAAAGCGTATTATATCCCAGGTTAGGCACCGACGATTGGCAAGCTTGGGGAAAGTTACTTGTTTGTCTGGTGTAGTTCTTTGAAAAGCACTAGGTGAAGAATAGCATAAGTATATAATAATTGTGCATTGTGGTTTTGTTTTGCCAACCTTTTGTTGATACATTAAAGAAATTCCTATACATAGACAGATCTTCATGCCACACAGTGGTTTTCTTTTCATGACAATACAGGAAGATTTTATCAGGTAAAGAAGTGTGTTTCCAGTGCCTTGTACACATGAAGATATGTCATAATTTGCGTGTTTTTTTATTTGGGGCATATGTATATCAATAAGTGGGGTTCCCCAGGATACGTGGGCAAACCTAAAAGCCGGAAAAGACACGATCACATAAAAGGAGGATCTATTTGTGTTCTTGTGAGTTCATTCTTATGCACTATTGCATATAGCCACTTTCCATCATTTGGCTTATAGTTGGCAATGTACGAACGATGTATGAGTTTCAGAAAAATTCGCAAGTACTTTTACGATCAAAAGTGAAGACGATGAACGTGAAGTTTACTAAAACGGAATAAATTAAATCAGATTATAATGAAGACATATAAGAGCATCCGACATATGTTTTTTTTTAATTCTTTACATGCCTGCTCAAATAAGACTTCTTCAGTCAAAAACGCAGTTCAAACCAAAATACAGTTGTGAAGTATGGGCACACAATTTTCTATCACACCTGTTTTATTATAAAATTTTCCAGATTGTTTTCCCCTCCAAACCAACTTTTCATATCATATTCGAGAGTGACATTCGACCGGAAATATTTGCATTTAAGTAGAAGCTTCAACGATGTAAGAATAAATGAACAATTGGTCCAATACATTACCGATCAGGGTTGAACTTGTGGGGTTCTGGCCAGTACCTCGAATCCATGTGTACATGAAGCACTGGCGACATAATGCTCAAACCTGCCTTGAATTTCGTGCCATTATACTCGAAATCGTTTTTGGCCGCTCTTGTCATAAAACTGAAAGCAGAATAACAATGAGTGTGCGGGCGAGCCTTTGGATGATTGAATATAATGTGTACCAGGTCGGCGTGTTTCCGTGTTTTATGCGTCCTCCAGACGGGTTCTTGTTTTAGTGGGTTTTGTTGTTCATTGTGAAAGAACGTTTCTCATGGTCATATCCATTGTGCGAAAAGTGTGTATAGTTTGGATAAATGGGTCTCCCGGTTAAAAATTATTTCTGTTGTGAGGTCTTTCATTTGTTGGGTCGACAAGAAGAGTATCAGGAAAGATGTCCGTGACGTCAGCATCAGCTCTATGTAAGCAGCAAGAAAATAAATGATATTAATTGCGCTTGAGAAGGTTTCCTACTGTTGTCTTCTTTCGACTTGTGTTTATTAATTTTTTTATCAGTTTCAGCTGTAACATAATGACAAGGAACAGAAACTTTTAGTATTCATCCGACCGAAATCAATATAGATACTTATAATTTTAAACTACGCATAATAATTGAGAGGTGAGTAACCTCAGGTACAGACCCTTGCGGAGGCTGCCGTACAGCCTTTCTTGAGTAACAACCATTTTTCATACTGTATATTTTTCACTCGCCTGTGCCATGCCAATCTGTAGACCACAGGACACGACGTCCTTATGCAGCCTGGGAAATTAATGTTCAAATGCGGTGATTGTATGAAGCGCCCCAATATACCCTTTTGCATTTTGCGCGCTATTATCCGCTGCTTCGCCACTTTAGCCAGTCCGCTATTGTTTGGGCACGACCCTTGAGCATGTACTGAACACGAGGAATGTGCCAGTGGTTGGCGAAAACTCGGCCGAGCCACTATTGAAAACGAGGGCTATGTCAGTGTTCGGCAAGGACTTCCATCCAGACACGCGCTTCGTGACCAAGAAATGGCGGTCATCAGTGTTGCCTGATGAGCTGCTGAAAATGACCTATTCATTGTTCACTAGGCTTGTCCCCGAAGATACCGGCGGCGTCGAGGCGACGCCCCATTGTTGCTCACTTGCAATCCAAAGTCAACGGAAAAGACAGCGGCGACACTGCACAAACCAGAGTATATTTGGAACTTCCGTGCCTAATTGTGATGTTCTTGTATCGAAGAGATATTTTGATGGCCAAGGGGAATCGCGTAGTCGTGCTGACAGCAGCGCACTTTCATTTACAGTAGATTAGTGTTGCTACTAACTTGAAAAGCGGACAGTTGTAAACCAGGCGGTCGCAGTGCCCAATCCAAGTGTCTGTCGGCATTCATTTGTGAAGAGACAACACGCCCCCTGACTGCCACGGCATGAAGGTAGTGGCGTCTTTTTGAATAGTCAGAGCCCTTACGAGGCTGTTTTCGTCCGTACCTCAAGGCGACAGCGAGTTGGACAATGTGGTTGACTACAAGAATGACCTCCTTCGAAGAAACCAGGATAGCTAGCTGACCACGGCCTCGGCACTTATTTACTCAAGTCAGGAATTCTGACTTTTGACTTAGTGTGGTGCCATACCCAATGTCTTTGAGGGACTTGTTAGTGCCCCGTCATGACGAAGCAACAACTGCCTCAGATATCCAAAAAAGGTTATATGAGCCGTTCTCAGGGTTTAATTAATTATTTACACTTGGTTTAAGACAAAATACCCGGTATATAGCTCTTTCTGGTTTGATGTGTTAATCGATAGAAGCCTGGAACCATTCGGATATTACGGGCAGTATATGGGATTTAATTCCGGCTGTTCTGTGGTGCCCGATCACCTTGTGACCTTGTGATTGTCCTACGCAGCGGTAGTCAAGAGCGTGATGGCTCCCGATTATAGAAAAAAGCGCAGCTGGTGTAGCATCATCTCGCTGGAATGCGACGCAGCGCACTGGTGGCGGCCCGCGGTTGAGATGATTGAAGAGTAACTCGACAGCACTCTCGAGCAGCTGATTAGAGATTCCACTGGAATTCGACGCAGCTCACTGCTGCGGTCGCACTTCCAGGTAACAGAAGAGAATTTGCAGAGTAATTTCTACAAGGTTCTAGAATTTGGACTGAACGTATCTAAGAAACCGGGATAAGCAACGTGATTCATTATATAGTCAGAATTCCACCGAAGCCTGTTTACAATCTGAAGGTAAAGGAGTCCCGGAAACAAAAATTAATGTATTGTACTGATTGAACTTACGTGAGGGACGGCGGGTACATTCGGAGAGTTTCATTCAACACTTGTCCAAGGTACCTTAGTTTGTGCATCACTGTCTCATAACTGAGGCTGCCCTGTAGTATGAAGACTCCATGAGACAAAATACCTTCCCATACAGATCTCGTGTGTGTCTTCAATTATTAGCTATTACGCAATAGTTTATGTAGTTTTAATGGTGTTTTCTCTTCTCCCCTTCAGTAGAGTGTGGTTTCTATCATATATATATGTTTGTAATTTTTACATAGTGATGATATGAATAGCATGACTTTTAGAATCTACGTAATCAATTTAAAATGTTTATTGGCGGATTTGTAATAAACTTTAAATGAGACTTTAGCGCAGAGATGATTCAGTAAAGTTTAAATAAACTAGGAATATAACTTTGTACTCACCGATTTTGCAACTGCCTCGCTAACTTCCTTTCTGACTTTATCTTGAATGTCAGGATGCTTAGCCAAAAGGAAGGTTGCATAACAAAGTGATATTGATATAGTTTGAAAACTGCAATAAATAAGTAAACTTAATCGATCATCAGTGAACTGTCATTAAGTTTTCAACAGATGTATAATCATGTTGTCTACGGTAAAAACATGGTGGTGAAATCCTCAAACAGGAAAAATTCTAGTGGAGGCAAATGCGTAATGTTTAAAATAATTTGATGCTAACTATGCATTTTATATCCGTCTGTTGGTCAACATAGGTGATACCTGCTGAATTCCCAGTACTGAACAAATATTACAAATTATTATATTAGACATGTAATAAAAGATCTGGGTCAATAGCGCTAGCTCATGGAAACCGTTCGCTGGGGCAGGATTTGCTTTGGGCCGGTTTTCTTGACTCTTTTAAACAATCTCCACGTGAACAGCAGAGTCAACGAACTATCAAAGAAGCGCTTCAAAGGACAACAGTCTACTTGTAAAGAAAGTAACATGTATGCACATTTCTGTAAATATTCTTTTATTAATTGTTCTAGAATTGTTTAATTTCTTCAGAACGTTAATGGAATTTGGGCATCATTTGATATTCCCATTGGGAAATTCATAATGCGACAATCAGAATTCGTAGTCCATAACATGTTGGATGATTTGGTAGCGTTATTGCTTGACAGAGACTCAACAAATCAGCGATTATTGGTACCACATGGCTGGGAGTTGCTAAGTCCCATGGAGTTTGTTGTTCGCCTTTCTGGGCTAGAGGTGCTAACTGGACAAAGTATAAGTAAAATGGAGCAAACCGTAGGATTAATTCCTAAACAAAGAAATATTTTTAGCGGAGAAGGAGCGGGGACGTGATAAACGCTACGTAAATTTAGATATTTAGAAAGGCATTTACAGTTGCAGTAGTCTTTTTCGGTGAACTCACCCTCCAAGGAAGAAAATTGTTGCCTGCAGAGTTGTTTCTTCTTCTGTCAGCTTTCGAAGCCTTTTGATATTGCCTGTTCAAAAGTTAAAATTCCGTGCTCTAGCACATCACGAAAGTATTTTTTATTCGGTTTTACTAAGGCAGAAATGTGTTTATTTGACTTAAACCTTTCTAAACTTTTTAAGTTCGAACACGCGAAAACTAATGGGCATTTGTTACATTTCTAAGACCGTGAAACCGAATATTTATAATAATAGTAAACAAAAAGTTCCGTTATTCACAATTGATTTTCCTTGAGAAGTGAAGGCAACAATAAACCCCTATAGATAAAGATAAAAGGAATTACCTCTGATTCCGAAGGCGACGTTGTTCGTTGATTTCTTATTGGATTTATCATCAGGTCTTTCTTCAGCATCGATAAGGCACTGGAGCACGTCGTTTCTTCGAAGCTAGGCAAAACATGCGGCCGATTGCAATGTTTGTATTGTCTTTTCGAGGGGTTCAAAGACAAGATTCAGAAACATTCGCTTCTTTAGATTTAGACAAGAAGGGTTTTTGCAAAGCCCTCAAGAGGTTGCGAACATGCGACAGTTTGCTTGAGGGAAAAATGTAGTTCAGAATTACAGAAACATTTCGTATTCCTCATTGTGTGTTCTATCAAAATTAGAACTTAAGTTGAAGAACTGAGATGTGCGTCGGGGTAGGAATGCGGGTCAGTTTTAATTCCATCACTGAATAGGCAATCTAAAACAAACAAAAAAGTTATATCAGCTTCCTTTAACGCTATGCGACCGCGTGTTAATTTGACCTTTTAGTATATAGCTACATCGAGCGAAATTGCCGCTGTCATGACATACTGTCGCCAATAAAAAATAATAGATGAATGTAAAAACAAGAAATAAATGTAAAATAAAGCGAATCTTGTGCACACAAACTTAAATGGTAAGGTACCACATAGGTAGCTAAATTTTTCGGGGATCATTTTGAATTTCACTTCGGAACTTACGGCCTTGAAAAGTCCGAAGAAACCAAAGCGGAGGCAGACTTGGCATTGTTTCGACCAGAATCGAGGCATCTCAACCATAATTCCTTAAGCAAGTGCCGAAGTTAAGTTTCGCGTTTTGTTGTTTGGCTTTCATAGGGCAACTTTCGGGCCTAAATTTCAAAACTAAAGTTAGATTTCTGTTTCGCTGCTGGCTCCTTGGTTTACATGTAGCATCTTTGGATTAGGCAACGCAAGGATTTCCGCGTTTTTGGAGGATCTTTATTTGAAAATTTCGGAGGCTGTTCTTCGGAATTTCTTTTTTCGCAAAAAAATTGGTGTTGATCGAGGTTTATTTTTGCTAGATTCATACTTTGCCGAAATTGGGAAAATTATTTCATAGTTTTTTTTTAATAAGAACAATTTTTTTCGGAAATAACAACGTAAACTGAGGTCACAAGATTTTGCCCGTGTCGAAATATATTTTTGCAGCTACATTCAACGTTGGTGCAGTTTGACAGCATACTAACTGCCTCACGATCATTCTTCAAAACCTGTGTTATTTCATTAAATATCGGTAATTTGATATAGTAAAACCCTAGAGTATAAAACCTGCAGCTTCCCTTTCCATCCCATTGAAAACTCTCACTAATTGAAAAAGAATAACGCCGGCTCTCTCTAAAAAGCCCAAATAATATGGCCCAAACTGGAAACAGAAACAGCATCTTTTGTTGTGGTTCAGAAGAAGATTTGCACATTGTATTGCACCTTGACGGGATAAGCTGGAAGCCGCCTTTCGTATATAGTCCAAGACAAACATATACTGAAGTAGCATTTCCTCAGGACCACTAATCCTGTGCGGTGTTCTCAAAATTTGCAGTTCTTCTGATAAATCTGAATTGCAAAAAGTTGAACAGGCGATCATTTTTGGCGTTTATCGGATTCGTAAGAGTTTAATACAAGGATAAAGGCGACCTGTTTGAGAACTGAAAATGTTTAACCTTAAAAAGGGGAGAAAAAGAAAGACGGGGCAAACAAACCTTCAAGCACAGCTGTGTCAGAAGATTCGTGTTATACAACGTTACTAGAATACTCTGTTGGAAAAGTGCCATATATGAGCCTGCATTAAAAAAGTGACTCCAATCCGTAGTAGAAAACCAAACTTATCGCGATCAGAACGGCGCCCTTTCACACTCAGCGGCCACTCCGGGAACTGCATGGCTGCACCAATTTTTTTCAGTTTGAGTCGCGCAAGGGCGAGTGGCGCCGTCTCGCTGTAGCTAGAGTCACTCTAGGTTGCAGAGTATCTAACTCGATAGCGTCCGTTCTTACTGTTTCATTTTGGCTTCGATCCGCCATTTTGACGCAAAACGTATACCGTGGAAGGGCTTTCAGGGCTGGCGACCCCCGTCTCCAAAGCGTGCGCCCCGCGCTTGACCATCAAAGTTAGGATGCGCCCAGGTCGGGACACGCTACCTTAAATCACCGGTGGCACACGGTTGTATAAAGACAATATTGATTGTGCCGTAAAACCTTTTAAACAAAAATGTTTTATGGAAACATTGGGCTCCTGTCACTCTGTACTAATATCCAATAAAATGTCATAGAAGAGCCTTTTCCGTTTGTTTTTCCGGAAAAGCCTGCTTTCTAAAAACTCATAGTGATTAAAAAAAAAAAAAGGTTGAGCCGCCATATTGGTATATCTAGTCTGGTAGTTTCGGTACTATGAGAACATTCAGCGACTCTAACAGTAGCCATATAAAGCAACTTTTATGTTTTAACTCGTCGCAGGAAAGTGGCGCTGTTATCGCATTCAGATCGGTGTCGGCGGACGCCAGCGGTTTAGGTTCCAACGGTGAGTTTCCCAAGTGAGTGTTTTAGTAACGTTGGTGTTGTCCTGTTCTGTTTCCCCCCTCTGCACTGTTAAAAAAATGTCAGTTTTCCGAAAACACGGATCCCTCAGTATGGCACTCTGCCGAATATGTGGCAAGCCAGTAAAAGCTATAAAAACACCAAAGAAAAATATTTTGGTACGTACTAACGCCTTGGCGAAAATTCGTTTTATACCAAGATTAGACCTCTAGGATTGACAAACTTGTGCAAGTTAGGCGCAACTCTGGCGTGTGTCAGAAAACCCTGCTTAGAAAAAATAAAAGCTGTTGACCCGCTTCCGCCAGTTCCGGCTTCTAATATATTAATAATGCCGTAGAAGAAAAATATGAACTAAAAATATGAAGTAGAAAAAAAACTAGAAATATAACTCGAGACTCTACTACAGCGTAAACTATTTGAAAGGTATAATGCAGATTTCGGCAGATGAAGTTTCAACCCCGCCCACAAACGTGGAATCTGTTTGCTCCGCGAACTCGCAAATGTACGTGGCAATACCATGCATTATGTGATGCATTTGGTTGAGTAAAATGAGGCGATTGCTATGCATACATTTTGAATTCTATAATTTCCACATTTGTGTTTTTGATTTGTTAAAATAAACATATGTAGCAGAGTTAAATTTTTTACGATTAATTAATAATTTGAAACGGCATAAAGTGACCTCCAGACTTTGACGGAACAAATTCCAGAGCAAAAAGTCTTTTGAATATTTGCCGTTTTTGTTGATTTTTCAGTTTTTGTTCTGCTGAATCTATCCATATATATCATCGAAATATCCGTACTAGAATTTAAATACGCTGCAAATGCATTTGTAAAGGCTTACCGAAGGGTTATTTCTTCTCTGCTCCACTATCTTGGCAATGTCGCGAGAGAAATTCTCAAGGGCGAATGTTCCTAATAATTTGTTCAACCAAGCCAGGGGCTTCACGATTCGGCCAAAAGAAGTCGTGCAATCTAAAAAAAATAGATAATAAAGAAAAAATATATAGGTTTCCTAGACTGCTGTGCACAGTAAAGAAGGAATGCCTGAAAAATGTGGAAACTTAACATTTTTAGGGATAAATTTATTAGTAACGATGATAAAGAAGGAATGCCTGAAAAATCTGTAAACTTAAGATTTTTAGAGATAAATTCATTAGTAGCGACGGGCGATTTTGTAAACAAGGATCTAAAGTTCCGTAATTACATTTTTATGAAATATTTCTTTAACTTGAACTACCCAATTGGAGCTTTGTTGACCTTCGTCAAAATGAGAACTAACCGCTTCTAAGCTAAGAAATCTAAAACACGCTTTAAGGTACGAAGGAACTGTGATAACGAAACCAAAAAATGAAATAGCAAAATGTGTGCCACTTGCTTGTGGCGTACGCGTCCGACAATCCCGCAGCGGCGAGTCATCTGAGGTTAGGAGGGCACGAAACACGCCTGTCATGCACTGTCGTCACCAAATACATGTTTGTTTGGATAAATTAGTTTATCCATTTTTACTCGGCACTGATATTATGTGTCTCGGTTGTATCTCCAGCTGATGTGTTTTGTCTTGAGGCATAGGACAAAATGGTCTCGGACCAAATAGCGCCAAAAAATGGACCCGGTCAAAAGTGGTCCCAGTCAAAGTATTCCCGGTAAAATGGTCCCGGGAAAAATGGTGCCGAATGTATACTCGGACGAAATAGTACCAAGTTATTTTTGACAGCTTGGGCTCTCATTAATAGTTTGAATGGACTGCTACACTGAAGCTTTATTTTACACACGTGTAATGTATGTTTATTCAATTGAAGCATTTCGAAATATATGTTAAAGTCAAGGGCAATGACAACCGTAAATCCTAAGGCAGGGTTTTGATTTCCTCTTTTTCATTGTGTGAAAACTTTAAAGTGAGTGACGGGGTGGTGCTCGGGTAAAAGGAGAGGAGGAAGAAGAAGGGACGCAAGCAGAAAGTAGACGTTTGTTTTTATTGATCTTTCTACAATAGAGTCCGCTCAGTCATTTTCTCACCGCCAAAATTAACAGACCCTCGGCGTTATCAGTCATCGGGTTCCAGACGCAATCATAGAAAAAGAAAAAAAATCTGCACTATATATTCTAAGAAACAACAAAAAGTTGTTTCTTAGAATATATAGTGGAGATTAGTTCTTTTTTTGTGATTGCGTCTGGAACCCGATGACTGATAACAATAAGCCCTGAAATTAATTAAATTTATATTATTGCTCACTTTGCTCTATGGCTTCTGTTCAGCTCAGAGTACAGTACAAAGCTCGAGCCTGAAAGTCACTGCGCAAATGCATACGCGTGAACTAAAAACGCGATGGCGCGACACACTCTGTGCTCTATTACACTAGTCGGTAATGATATGCAAAACAAATGGACGAATGTCATTAGTACGTTTTGTTTTCCCTGCTTGATTAGCTCTATCAGCTAGTAGCGCCGGCTGAACTAGGACTCTAGTGAAACGTAGTGGGGTTAAAATAATCATATCTAGCGAAAATATATATACAGTGCAGTCCACTTATAACGATATTGAGAAAACCGCAAAATCCAATCGTTATAGCCGATTATCGTTATATCTGGATCAAATCAAATCTAAAAAAATAGCGATCAAATCTAAAAAATTTGATCGCTATAAGCGATATATCGTTATATCTGGTATCGTTATAAGTGGATTACACTGTATATATATATATATATATTTAATTTAAAATTAGTGCATCGGAGTTTAAAGATACAGCGCCTGCATTATGAATTAAATATATCATCATGCACATTCATATTTATGATTGCTAATATAGAACAAGTATTATTGTTTACAGGATACGCAACATATTAGTAATCCATAAGTTTATATATGTACAGTCGGGGACAAAAGTCTCCAGGACGTGCGAGCTCCGGCTGAAATGCATTGCTCTGCCATCTGCCGGCGGGTCGCCTGGTTTCGAGATCACACAAAAGCGCATGCGCGTCCTACTTTGCCTGCAAACATGTGTGTTTTCCCGCTCTTCTGCGGCACAGTGACTAACTCGGAATCGGGCGCGTGGTACCGCCTCGGAGATAGCGCTGGCGGCTGACGAGCGTCTGCTACACATTCCGAAACTCGAGATACCGCCTGGGGCATTGCGCCGCATTTCGCCGTGTCAGCGCACCTTGCTTTGTAACCAGTTGAGCTTCTCGCTCAGTTGAGCTGCCGTGACTTCTTGCTTGATAGGTGCCATGTCAGTAAGCGCTATCTCCGAGGCGGTACCACGCGCCCGATTCCGAGTTAGGCGCCGCGCCGCAGAAGAGCGGGAAAGCGCACATGTTGGCAGGCATAGTAGGACGCGCGTGCGCTTTTCTGTGATCTCGAAACCAGTCGACCCACCGGCAGATGGCAGAGCAATGCGTTTCAGTCGCAGCTCGCGTGTCCTGGAGACTTTTGTCCCCGACTGTACTTGTATATTATTTCTACAGTGAAATTATCTGTTTCGTTCAGTAACTAAAACAACTGTACTTTAATTGAATATACAAACTTTAAAATGATTAAAGGTTCAGTTTTAGTATTCAGTCAATCATTTCATCTCTGTTAAATTTTGCACAAAATACGAACCCCCGACTAACCACGGAAGAGCAAGCAAACTATGCCGCAAAATTTACCAGGGACCATTTTGTCCGGCGTCAGTTTGACCGGGGCCGTTCCGGCGTCGTTTTGACCCGTATAATTTTGTCCGAATCATTTAGTCCTGATCCCAGCGTCCTAAAACGTGGCCCCTCGATTTCCAATTGATTACATCCTAAAAGTGTGGTTCTTTTTCCGGCCGCGGTTTTGAAGGTTTCTCAGCAGCGGTTGTAAATGTGGCAGACGCGTGTTCTTTATCAGGTGGCTTCTCTGGCTCACAGTCGACAGAAGCTTTTGCACTCGGGAATGGGGACGGCTCGACGTTAGCCACGCCTGCTTTCCCTCGTACTTTGAACCCGATAGAGTTAAGAAGCTCGTGTCGCAAAGAAGCCGGCATCCGTGGCGTCGTGACGAGAAAACATTGATTGGTCGAGAGGGTCATGACGTCACAGCCGCATGACATCGCGCGGGTATTTCCAACAACCCACAAGGCTCATTTGAAACGTAAGGTTACGCCTGGAATGAAAGTGAATTCAACGTGACACGTAATGCGAACGAAGGTTCGCCGCATGTCTCAAACGATATCACTTTATAAAGCGATTCATTTGCATTAAAGAAGCAGGAATGAAGCGGGACTCAAACCCACAGCCTTTCGGCTGCGAGCCAGACAAGTTTCTGACTAGGCCATGTCTTCCGCGCTTCCCACTCACTGGCAGGAAGAGCATAAGACGCGAGAGAACGCGATGCGACGGAGCCTCAGAACACTATTGCGCTCCACTCTTAAAGGCGAAGCTTAAGCGACCTCCAATTTGTTTACCGGTACTTTTAGCAACACCCGCGTGATATCCGGCAGCATGACTTTTACGCTAGCATTAATCTTATTCTGAATGAGCGATTGACGGGTAATTCTTACGTGCAATAAAGTGGAAGGGCCCGGTCATCATTTGGGGTATAACATTCAAGGCTTTAGCAATGAAGGCATCTTGAACGTTGTGCTGAAATGTGCTGTTCAGTCCAAAGAAGGTCCGCCCTACATTGTCCATAGCCAAAGCCTGAAACGTCTCAAATGTAGACAGCTCTCTTCCGAGGTCGGACACTTCTCCCAGGATGCCGAGAAGAACCTCTGCTTGCTCGCTGATATGAGGCATCATCTGTGATGCGGTGCAACATCCATTACTGTCAACAAACGCTGACGAAAATAACAAAAATAATCCTCGGAGAAGGGGAACAAGAGGGACAAAGGACAAACACAAATCTCCAAACACAGCTAGGTGACTGGTGCGCGACCGAAAAAATCCGCCTTGTCCGCGTATCGAACTGGGACCTCTCCATTTCCAGTGGAGCGCTCTACCAAGTTAGACGTCACTATGCAAACAGGTTTTGTCAGCCGCCACCAGTCTAACACCCACAAGGGTGAAAAGCACCAGTCACTTAGCTGTGTTCGGAGATTTGTGTTTGTCCTTTGTCCCTCTTGTTCCCCTTCTTCAGGGATTAATTTCGTCATTCTTGTCCAGCTCGCTGGCCCCTTTGCATTTAATTGCATTATAATCGAAACCTTGAAATGCAAGCTTTTCACCTTTGTTGGTGTTAGACTGGTGGCTGCTGATAAAACCTATTTGCTCAACTGACGTCTAACCACTGGGTAGCACAGTTGGTACAGCACTCCACTGAAAATCGACAGGTCCACGTTTCGATACCCGGACCAGGCGAATTTTCACTCAGCTGTGTTTGGAGATTTGTGTTTGTCCTTTGTCCCTCTTGTTCATCTTTTCCAGGGAATATTTTCGTCATTCTTGTCCAGCTCGCTTGCTCCTTTGCATCTAATTGCGTTCTAAAAAAAAACACAAAAACACTGTCTTTTTTGCGCAGAGAGAGTTTCTGTGTGGGTGTTTGTAATTGATTTATATGCAAAACTTGTAAGCCCTAAAAATGTCCAGGTTATTTATTTTTTTTTACCGCGAAAGTAAACTATGCATTCTCGAACGTTCAATCTTCGCCCAAATGTAGTGCTAGTGATCGGAACAGATGCCAAAGTTACAAAACTGACGGTTATCTAAGTTAAAAATTATGAGTGATATGGCGACAATTCAGAAGGAAAAATAACGCCCTTTCTCCTTTGCTGCCGCCATTTTGCTTTATGTATTTAAGGACTCCGTCTGCCGCCATTTTTCCATTCAAAATGTTACAAAATCCCTTGTAACTTTTGATTGAGGTAATGCTTAGCTCTGAAACTTCTGGAGTTTGATTCAGATCACTAGGGCTGCACTTGGGAGAAGAATGAGCGTTCAATAATGCCTGGTTTTGTAATCGGTAAAAAAAAGCATCCTGGAACTTTTTGATGAACACCCTCTACAACGTTTGTGTGTTCCCCGTGAAAATGTTAGGAGCCAAAAAAGGTGAACATCGCGCAAATATTGATCACAGAGAATAAGCGTCTAAAAAGGAGAACGATAATTCTCAAATAAGCATTTCATATAAAAAAAACATCCAGCAACAACAATGATGTCAGTCGTCACACGTACAAACAAGCTATCTCTTTGGTGCGCACTTTGACCAAACTTTGGTAGACATATCAACCTACTTCCTTCTTTTGTTAAAGCAAGAGCCTCTCCTGTTTCCCTCGCTATCTTATCCCTCCCACCACTTCATGTGTCAGAAAAGAATGTCTTTCATGCGTGAGGTATCAGCCCTCCTTGGCTGAAGGCATGAGGGAAACAATTATCGTGACTCCTTCGATAAGTTTTCGCCAGAAATCTGCGCAGTACAGAGTAAGTGACCTCCAGCCGAAGTCCGTTTGGATCACCTATTGTCACGCATAACTTTACTTACACAACTTGTTTGGCCAATGTAGGCACTTCTACACGTTAGCGCAGTACTGTAAAAGATGTCAAGCGCGCTCTACACATACGGCATTAAGGGCTGTACAAATAGGATACCGCAAACACCGCGCACGGCAAAAACAAAATTGGCAGTGACATTTGTCTTCAAACTACTGAAATGCTTGAAATGCAGTATTTCGAAAGCGATTGTTTTAGTTTCTTTGGAGGACAATTTATAGTGTCTTATGAGTCATTCCATGCCAAATGAGACGTGGAAGGTTTTTGTCTGGGATATGTACGAAAACAATAACTTGTATAAAAAAGCCCCTGAAATCCAAGAAGTGGATTTCTTGTAAAAAAGCATATTTTATTTTTGCTGATATCATGTTCTAAATTTCTAAAATCGCCATAAAACCTGCGTAGCTAAAAAAAAAACAAAAAAAACGGTTGGGTACCAGAGAAATATATGTAGGCGCCTAATTTCTTAATAACAAGCCCTATCTTACAGTTAAATACAAGCATTGAAAGACGATAATTTGAGTCCGAATAAGAGCTCCAAAAAGAGGGACTTTACGAGGTTTCTTAATCTTTTAAGTCACCCTGGAGTTGAGTGTTAACTAAAATACTTTTTTCGTTTGCTCTTCCTGAACAAATAATTGCATCTCACGTGTAAATTTTTTAAACCCTCGTTTTGGTGAGTTTTAATTCAATGACAAATTCTCCAGTTTATGCAGAAACGGCCCAATTGAGAGCCATAAAAGGCAATGTGCACATTGCCTTTTATGGCTCTCAATTGGGCCGTTTCTGCATGGTAATGGCTATTTTGAAAGTGGAGGGCACCGAAGCCCCATGGGGCTTCGGTGCCCTCCACTTTCAAAATAGCCAAACGTTGAAACCACCATATTTTAGAGCGCAGCTCTTAGGGGCCCGTTCCTGGCTTGAGCGGCGTCGCCGTCGGCGTCGGCGTCGCCGTCGGCGTCGCCGTCGCCGTCGGCGTAACCAAGGTCATCCCAAGGTCACGTGACCCCCAAGGTCACGTGACCCCTCCCAAGGTCATCTCAAGGTCACGTGATCACACGTTACCCCCTGAAGGTCACGTGACCCCTCGAGGTCACGTGACCCCTTCCAAGGTCATCTCAAGGTCACGTGACCCCAAGATGACCCCACGTGACCCTTTGAAGGTCACGTGACCCCTCTGAGGTCACGTGACCCCCGAGGTCACGTGGTCGCCTCCCCAAGGTCACGTGACCCCCGAGGTCACGTGACCCCCAAGGTCACGTGACCCCTTCCAAGGTCATCTCAAGGTCACGTGACCCCTCTGAGGTCACGTGACCCCTCTGAGGTCACGTGACCCCCGAGGTCACGTGACCCCTCCAGGTCACGTGACCCCAAGGTCACGTGGGGGTCACCTTTGGGGTCACGTGGCCTTGAGGTCACCCCCAGGTCACGCCTCCCCGAGGTCACGTGACCCCCTCCCCGAAGTCACGTGACACCCCCCCCGGAGCATATTAAAGAATGAGGGGAGGAGGAGGAGAAGGGGGAGGGGTCTACCCTCCCCTCAGTACCCTTCACTCCTCCTCCTCAAGAGCTGCGCTCCAATTCGGCGTTACAGGGATTTGTAAACGGCTTTCACTTTTTTTCAACATATCTAAAAATTAGAAAATACCATTTTGTTGTTGCTCAGAAATTACACTTTAAAGATGAGCCTTTCCGACCATGCCTCCAGGCGCCCGCCTCGTAGTCGACGCACGCTGGCAATCTCCAGCTCAGCGTCAGCGTTGTAAGAAGACGTCGCCGCAAGGCCTTCAGCGCTCACCTGAAAACACCTTTTATTAAGTTGAAGTGGACGTTAACCTCACTTCAACTCATCCGTGTCCTTTTAACGTGATGTATTTATACTGGCGTCTTAATTTTGCTCTATTTTTGCCCAGGTAACAGCCGACGAACGCAGGTTTAGGTGCATCGTCTGCTTCCCGAGTTTGGGTTAGCGTTCTGCGCGTCGGCCTTGTCTGTCGTATGTCCAGATATAAAAACAATGCAGACCGGATAGCTCTTCATCACTGTGCAATGGTAACGGTCATGTTGCTTCTGTATTGAATTTAAATATATTTTGATAGAACATGTAGCGCTACCAAACAAGTGCAATGATGAAAAAGGCATTCTACTGTTTGCGGCGGACGCCTCACACCCTTGAGGTCAAGTACATGTGCACTGTTTCAGGCTCAGGAGTGCACTGGAGGTCAACAAAACATTCTGGAATTCTGAACTGACTAGTATTTTTAGAGGAAGTGTGTTTGACTAGAAGTGGGAGTTACACAGGTGACGTCTTTGCTATCTGAGTGTCAGGCTCGGCGGACATTAGGTGAGGTAATAAACGTCATGGTAAGTCCCTTTATTAAACAAATTGTTGCTTGAATTTTTAAATAATTTCTTCATGGCTGAAGTTGCAATTCCAGTATCGACACCAACTACAATCAGAGGCTTGACCAATTTACAAAATTTGCGAAATGGTAATAGTTTCGATGATAATCATCGACCAGTTCTCGCGTTTTTACACCCAATTCCAACATTGCGTGCAAACAAATTGCCACAATCCCTCCCCAGAATGATTCTTAGATACGTGACGTACAGTGCGGTCCACTTATAACAATATATCGGACGTAGCGATCGAATTTTATGGAAGCATTGATTTTCGCATTGGTTCTATGCAAAAATAAACCATTTATTGCGATGCATTTTTCCACGACATATCGGATACAACGGTCAATAAATGATCGCGTAGAATGTGTTTAATACAAAGCGCGTCCTTGGTGGATTGGCCAACAAACTTCAGTACAACTTAGTTATCTCAAAATAGATTTAAATTCAACGGGGAAGCGACATCACTGTTATTATTTGGCGTCGGTGAAGAGCTATTTGGTCTAAATTGTTTTTACATCTGGACATACAACAAACGAGGCCGACACGCAGTACGCATTCGCCAACGCGGGAAGCAGACGATTAAGCTGAGCACTCGTCGGCAGTTACTTATTTAGTCGATTGAAATTTCGACGCCAGTATCATTACGTTAGTTAAATAGGATACGGATGCTTGGGTCTCAGGATAACTTCCACTTCAACTGAACAACGACTGTTTTCATTAGAAAGTTGAAGACCTAGCGGCAGCGTCTCACACCGTTGGCGCCTTGTTGGCGAGCGTCGGCGTGCGTCGCCTACGAGGTGTGCGCCTCGAGGTATGGTTGTAAAAGCACATCTTTAAAAAAAGGAACTCTCAGCAAAAAACAAAAATACGCTTTCTAAATTTTTATATGTTAAAAAGGTGAGGTTGACTGAACTTTTGGCTGTCTTGAAAGTTGCGGGGAACAATTTCCACATTGCTTTTTCTGACTCTCAATAAGGCCAAGTTCTGCACAAACTCGATAGTTTGTCATTTAATTAAAATGCACCAAAACGTGGCTTTAAAATTTTCACTCGTGCAATTCAATTATTAGTTTTAAGAGAACAAACAAAAGCAACAAAAAAAAAAAACTTCAGCCCTTCCCCTTTGGTGAAGAAGTAAGATCAGCGGAGCTCTACAATGGAAAGTAATGGCCGGCCGCAAGTCGGCAAGCTAGACTGCCAGAGTGGAAAGGCTGTCGCCATCTATGAGCGACGGCGGCAACCAGATACATGACTCGCCGCCGTCGCTCACAGATGGCGGTAGGTGTCCAGAGTTCTGTGTCTTCATTTCTTTGCGGGGGACACGAACCTGGGGAAACTAGCCCTTAACAGCTCCTCTGTAAAAGTGTTGTAACACCCGACTCCAAGTTGGCTAAAAATAAAGAAATCTCATAAACTTTCTCATTTTTGGAGCACCTGTTTTGACTCAAACTGACGTTTTTCATGTTCGTAATTTACTGTGAGATAGGCCATGTTATTGAGTAATTCGGCGCCCACCTAAGTTTGTGTCGTACCCAACTGTGGTTTGACAATGTTTTTCTTCACTACACGCGTTTTATGCAAATTCCAGAAATTTAGAGCATGTTATGAGCAAAAATGAGATTTATTTTTCACGAAAAATGTTTTCCTTGGATTTCAGGGGCTTCTTTATCCGAATTAATTTTTTTGTACATATCCCAGAGATGAAAAAAAGTGCCACGTGTCTTTTGGCATAGATATATGAGGTGGGCGTCAATATATGCGACTATATATAGGCCACGTGACAGCAGGTCATGTGACGTCAGTTTTGACGCTAAATTTAGCGAGGAAACAAAATTGGTGTTGGGTTAGATGACATTAATATTGTCGCTAAATGTAGCGGGGAAACTGAATTGGCAAACGCGCTTATCGTCTATCCCGTTTTGGGCACTTGTTTTGTGTTTTTCTTATAGAAACAAGTGTCAAAAGCACATGATAAGGGATAAGGCGCCCGCGTCGGGTTTCTGTCAAACATTTCATCTCTCGACTACTTTTCTGTCGACGGACACGAAAAAAAATCCCGACCAACGAGTCATGTACAGCTTCGCTGTAATAAATAAATAAAAAGTCACTGAATGTCAGTAATGCTTTCAAACGTACCCGTTTTAGTTTGGCCGCTGAAAATCCAGAAGAAGCGTAACCCCGCAGGGTCCTCCATTGAGATTCCTTCGCATTAATAATAGCCTTTCCAAGAGAAGGGTGCATTTCGTCGGTTCTCATTGTGATCTGCAACATGTCCGAGTTACAATCAAAACCGCAATGTGCCTTAAAGGGAGGTAACGTAACGGCAGCTATTGCTTCGATTCACTTCAAGTCCCGCCTGTGTCAGCGCTACAACTTGATGGAGCCTGTCAAGCAGCGCCAAGAGTGCATCTTCATGAGGTTGATGGGAGTTATGCTATTGCTAGCTAATCCAACTAAAGTCGCTAGATAAGGGCTTTCTACAAGTAGCGACATTCTTTGAAGCGCGGACTGCGTGACGGTGCAGGCTTTAGGAAGCGAATGGAGGCGCACAGCAGAGGTTTGAACTGAATGCCGCCATTTTGTTTCAGAGGAATTTGTTTTGTCATTTTTATAGGTTGTCGTTACTTGTAAAAGAAGTATCAAGGGACTTTGAATTCAACCAGTCCCGGCAAATCCGCTCGCGATCCTACATATTTGTTTTCTGCGAGATTCGCTTAGGGTGTGACTAAAGAACGCACAATGACGACGAGCCTGGTGTCGATGCGCTTTGGACACTTCTCGATTGGCTGGCTCTATCAGGTCGTGGCATCGGCTCCTGTCTACCTTGGAGTGAAATGAAGTATAGTGGCTATGGAACTCACACCGCGATCCGTAAAGTTCTTGAAGTTTCTGACAAAGACGTACTCCAACATGTCCAGGTCCTTCACAACTAGCGTTGGGACGTCGCCGTTGTAGAATCTAGGGAAAGAGGGGGGGGGGGGGGGGAATGGAGTCAAAATATGCAAATATTTATGGCAGCAAATATTAGCATATATATATATATTTTTTTTTCTAAGTTTAGTGGAGGCCGGAAACGAAACACGAAGAGCCTTACATGTTCGGACACTAATCGGGGCTCGACTGCTAGGCTCAGCAAGGTTCAAAGTTTATTAGCGTCTTCGTTCACGACAAAAGGGTTAATTTAATGCGTAAATCTTTGGTATTCTTAGGCGATGCGGAAAGTTATAAAATAATATTTCAAGAGATGCCCTACCACAAAATATCAACCTACTTGCTTTTACATGATTTGCTATATTTTCTAGTAAAATAAAATCAGATGGCTGTAGGACCGTTTGTTGAAGAACAAGTCGAAGTGAGGTAGTCTCCTTCACGGTAATTCGCCTCGATGACGGTTCGTCACACCAATGGCCGAACTCTGTTGAATTTTTTATTTTTGTTTTTTTATCAAACATATTGCAACTCCCAAATAATTAGGCATGTGCAAGGCTCCTTTTTACTGGCACGGTTTTCTATCCTACTCAAAAGTGCCAGCTGAAATGCTCCAAATTAATTTCACAACGTAAAAGATCACAGCCACGAAATACGCGAGCTCCCTATCAGAAGTGAATAACGTTAACCCTGAGAGATATTTCTTTTTTGCTATGATCATCAAGGAATGGAATGCCCTCACTATGGAGGACTTATGGCAAATATGGAATTCTTTAAATATTTCTTCGTTCCACGTGATACTGGCTGATACTCACGCTGAAGCCTGAAAATGACTGAAAAATAAACATATCAAAACCGACCAAATGAACACCGAATATAGGCAGTCACATTCACCCAATCCTAATCCTAACAAAAAAGGTAAAACCGACCTATGAAAAAGAAACCAAAGGACGCGGGCAGAAACGAGTCTTCAACGTTTCGCGCAAGCATTGGTGAACATCTTAAACAGGGATCAACGCGGAATCTTAAAACGAAAATATAGTGTCATCACTCCAAAACCAAAAGTAAGCATGCAAAAAAAAGTCTTCGTAACTTTATCTTCTTCATATGCGCGTCAACCTTGTCACTCTCTTTCCGGTTTTGAGCCAGCGCACTAACCGACAAATTGTCCTCTGACAAATTGCATCATGTGACCAATTGCACTCCTACAATTGTTGTCCTGTTACGAATTGTCTTTTGATGATATTGCCCACTTCTGGTAACCTCTCTGTACTGGCTAATGGCGACCCCTCCAGAACCGGGATCAGTTAGCATGAACGCGAGATATAAGAACAATGTTGACTGGAAAACACAGTCCTCCTTGGCTCATTCCCCCTCTGCTCATTCTCCCTCTCAATAGTGACCATGGGGCAAACTGGATTAGATGTGTTGCTAGAGCGAGAGATCCGCACACAATGCTGATCATGTCAGTCGCCCTTGTGGCAGACTCCTTCACTGGAGTGACAAGTTTGAAAAGAAACAGGATAAAAAAATAAGTCTTCCTCAAACGCCGTTACCACCACCACGGATCCACGAACTTAAAAAGCTTGGTCAGTTCGTCTTCCGTCGCAGAGAAACAATGACATCAGTATGCGACAGAGCTTCACTTTTCAGAAGGCGGAGGCGGGCCAATAGCACTGGAAGAACGGAAGCAACGTCAGCAAGATGGCGCTTCAAATAGGGGTTTAATGAATGCAAGTGGGGCAGCAGGACTCGACTAACAAAAGTCACCTACAGCAATGCCACGAAAAAGGCAAATTAAAGCGTTCCTTAAACAACGGATGGCCCGTATTTTCAGAAAAGGTTGCCGATGGGCTCTTCGAGTTCGTCGATATAGAAACAGAATAACAAAGGGCCTATAAGACTCCGCGAGATTTAAGAAAAGCGATTAAACTTGCGCAGGTGGCTAATTTGGGACGCTTGAACGTTTCTAGCCAGTACCTGTCGCATTGGGTGCACAAAAAAAATATCCGGTAAAAAGGGCCCCGGAGTAAACAACCCAGGAGAAAAAGCACCGAAAAAAAAATCAACAGAAAAGAATGTTCGGTTTTATGTGGAAATTAAAAAAAAAATCCGAAGGCGTTCAAAGAAGTATATTCTTGTAGAACCAATTTTGAAATAAGGGAAAGCCTCGCAAATTTCTCTATGACAGACATATTGTTCTGAATTCGAGTGGAGTCATATTATTTTATTTATTCTAAAAAGGAAGCGGCACTTCAACATACTGCCGTGAATATTCTGAGTACACACTGACACGGTAGATTCAAATAGTATGTACATCAATCAGGAAGTCCTCGATTACTGCCATCCCACCGAAATGCGCTCCTCACAGAAGTACCTGTAACGGCGTTGCATTTAGACGAGCATCGACATGCTTATAATTCAATTAACTGCAAAGGTGCAAGCGAGCTGCACAAGAACAAGAGAAAATAATCCCTGGAGAAGGGAAACAAGAGGTACCTTTTTCCCTCTTGTTTCCTTTCTCCAGGGATTATTTTCGTCATCGACATGCTCCTTTTCTTGGGATGAGCCGACTCGGTCCTGGAACATCTTTATGGTTACGGTCAATTTTTCTGAGCGTAAAGCCACCACCAATGCTTTCAAAACCTTATATTATATGATTTCTGCCCGTTTGTGAATGTAAATATTGTGTTGTTATTTTTTTCTTTTAAAAAAGATATTACAGTCCTTCAATCGAGAATGTGATTATTTCGTTGACACAAATTTGCAGGGCTTACATCTTCTATTTCAGAATGGGTTTGTCGGGAAAATGTATTCTTTGTTAGACTTTGGGACATGTATTTTCTTCACACCACTTGGGATCACTTCTTTAGGTGACGTGTTTTCCCCAAACCCGTCGCGTTTACCTTATTCGTGCTGAAGGAGTAATGCCCAAGAGCAATCGAAAGAAGCCATCGCGGCAAGACGCTGTAATCTTTGTGTCCAAAACTTGGGCATCTGATAGATTTATAGATTAATAAAGCTTGGGCTTGAGCTTGGGCTAGTTGGTTGTACATTGATAGACGTGCTGCGCTGCGAAGTTCTACAGAACAAACGCGTGACCAAAAATTGAAATGAAAAGGATGAGTTTACATTGAGATGAGGAGAAACACAACAAATAATCATTGGGCATCCGCCTCCTAGGAAGTTGTGGTCCGGTTATACGAGTGGTGCGGCATGTCTACCGTACCTGGTGGTTTCGAAAGCAGCCCTAGCTCCACGAGCGACTTCCAATGGCGGTTTCCCTTCTGGTTCCCAGCCGACTACGCCTTACTATGTGCGCGACAATGTCATGGGTATTCTGTACAATAATAATAGTGACTGTTCTCTTAAAAGTTTTGAAAAAGACTAGACCGAACGGAAATCAACCAACATTCATGTTCTTTGGCTATGCTTTTTTTTTGTTTACTATTGATTTTACACTGCAAGTTAGCCCCTTCCACTTTTCACCTGAATTCTGGGTGGGCTATATATGGGGATATTACGGCCGTCACTACAACGTAAGAGACGCTAAACTTGGTGATTTTATACCATCTTATTATCGGTCAGTAGCCACTTATATGTAGGGTGTGTATTTTCCGGTTTTAACCGAAAAACACCGATAAACATCCGTCGGCGAGGAAAATATAAAATCGGTTAAAACCGAAAAACACCGGCGGTTGGATTTTTTCGTTCTGGTTAAAACCGAAAAACACCGGTCAAAACCGAAAAACACCGGTCGTGGCATGATTCCGACCTAGCGAAACCTTTTCCCCGTAGAGGTTCGTCAAGCGTGTTATCTCGTGGATCCTGCATTCTTCCAGTGTCTACACATGGCTTGCACGTGGCGTCAGTCCGCCCTTTTTTCTGGGGGTCAAAAGCGTCTAGTGAACGCACTGGAAACTAAGCTCTCACACGCCTTTCCCCTATTGTGTCTCCCATGGCCCCCTTTTGTGGAAAAATTAACGCGGTGGAGGGTAGGCTCTCTCGTGCCCTTTAACCATTGTGTCTGGCCAAGTAATGTCGGTGCAAGCCATATATTCAGAGGTTGCTATGGTTCCTGGAAGACACTGCCAACGTCCGTGTCATACAGGAGCGCGCGTTTTCATAATTGTGGGTTGTGAACCGCAAGGAACGTGCTGCCATGACGGATGCAAGCCTCTCAAAGTATGCTTGCATCTACTATAATAACCAAGTATGAGAAATAGATGCTTTTTAAAAAAGAAGTGTATGAAATATGTGAATAAAATTGGAACTCTCTGTCTGTGATCAATCGCATTTTTTCCACCGATAATCACCGATTTTAGCCTCATCGTGAGACTTTCCACCGAAATAAACCGGTGTTTTGAAAATAAATAAACACCGAAAAACATCCGCCGATTTTTCTCACAAATAAACACCGGAAAGTACACACCCTACTTATATGGTGATATTGTCGTTTTTTATTTTATTTATTTATTTTCAGGGGCCGAATTCCTTACAGAGAGGAGTGTGCTAGTTATTCGAAAATACAAGAATAGAGCGCTAACAAGCCACAAATATATTAATATCATTGAACAAGGCAAGAAATACGTCAATACAAATATAAACGAATAAAAAATGTACGAACATCATTATGAAACATAATTTTAAGAACAATCGTAATTACAGTTTTAACATCAAAGCTGTCATTTATTGAGACTATTGATACCGAAAGGCGATTACGATCAATGAATATCTGGGGAAGAAAGGAAGCTTTGAAAATGGAAGTGTCAATGGAGGATGCCTATGTTTAGTGGGTTATCTATGCACGATGAGAACTAAGATGGCTCTAAAGATAACTTTCTACAAAATGCCGGGTTTTAGTGATAAACCATGTGAAATAAGCATAAACGATAAGGACGAAGGAGAATGAATTACGAATATGAAGTGAAAACAAACCACCGCACTGCATTTATTAATCACTCAGCCCATAGTACAATATTGTTTCCGCGAGTAAGCATAAAATATGTCAGATACCATTAGGATGGCGTTTTAGGTTCCTTCGACGTAGTCAACTTCTCTTTTCATACTGGACTATAAAATAAAAACCCAAAACGTTGAATTTTGATTTCATGCAACAAGTGTACAACTCCCTCAACGCACGGAAACATTTTATTTTTACTGCCATGGACAGTTACAGTTGGATGTGTGGTGTTGTCTTAAACGAAATAAAGCTTATTGCAGCTATGCAACGTCTAAGAAATTAATCATTAATATTTATTATTTGTTTAGTAAAAATAGTGTTATTTAAAGTTTAAAAGGGTTCATCGTAACCCTCAGAAATAAGGGTGTAGTACTTACACCCCTTCTGCCGTAGATAACACACCAAAAACAGTCCACCGACCGTACCAACTTTCACAACCGAATTGATAGTCGAGTGACACCACCTAATATAATAGCTAATGTGTTCATCAAGGAATACAGGAAAACACTTAAGGTTTTGATCGCTCAGCTGCAAAACCTAAGTGTTGTTCTTTGTTTCTGTAGTCTTGGATACGTACATTAGGTATTTAGTAAGTTATATCAAATATCTATCAAGACACTCGTAAACGTTGGTATCGTCCGTTCGATGTCAGTGGACTGAATTGACTTAATATCGGAATTATAGTTTTGGGATGTTATATATGGGACAAGGGGTGTAAGTACTACACCTCCTATTCCTGACTGTTGTAGGCAGAGTTCGCTTGAAGAGAATGATGATATTTAGGGAACTTCACTGAGACCAACATTCAAGCACTATCTTCCAGCATAGCGTAGTGTATTTGTGATAAACCTATAATGTATATTAATATGTATGTTTGCGTTTTTTTTCGTAGATGCAATCAGCCCATAAGAGAGGACCAAGCGAACTTACCCAAAAATGTCACCATAAGTTTGACACCATTCGTTCAACGCTTTGTAAAATCCCTAGAAAATAATTAGATCGCATCAGGCCCCGAAAATATATAATGCAATTACAATCTTTATGTTACAATATCTTTTAAAACATTAAAATATTTTTGTGGATATTAATGCGCTTCCTGGGCGAATTTTCGACAAAATCTTCAAGTACACAGGAAAATAAAATACGGATTTCTCTAGGGATTCAGTACGACATGAGTACCGCTCTCAGCATTATGCACCGTAGGATATAAAAAAATACGTCGTTCAATGACTCGCAGTCAAGTTCGAACGCGGTATAATGCCCTAAAATACCTATTTCATGTTATTTGTATCGCGATAATATTATAGAATACAAAATGTGTTGACAGCAGAGAAATCACTTGTAAATTTACGCGCTTTCAAAACATGTCCGCGTCAATGTCTTAATTATAAACAATTCGCACTTACATAAAAAAACAAGACTTCGGTTTCTTATTTTTTAATACATTCATGTCACCGAAAACCTAAGAAACCCGAAGCGTGGCGAATCTATGTCATCTTAATTTTTATCGCTACGCATTCAATAGAACTGCGGCATTAGGCAATAAAAACGTCGAGGAGTGGATTACAAAGGTAGAAACGGGAACATGATGAGTAACAACCCTTGTTTCTTAAACTCTCGGTTACTCTGGCACTATGCACATTGTCTTGATAAACACGCGATAAATTCTCAAAACATCACTTACGTTTTTGTGATACTCTCGAATGTTTCCCCATATTAAATTAGGCGGAGGCCCGGGTATGCCGATGCTCTTGAAGTATGAAAATGTCTTCCTCCTGCAACTTTGTTTTTTTTTTTTAAATAAAATAAAAACATAGCATTTTTGGTGTCAACCGTATGAGAAAAACACGAATGTTCTGCGAATTTAGGAAGTGCGGTAAGCCAGTGTTTCAACGAGGGGAAGTCTTTCTCTACACATACCAAACATAGCATGGTCATGTGGGAAGACTTTGAGTTCCTCTATTGTAGGGTCGAATTGGACTTTACTATCGCCAGATTACAATAGTGAACTTCGCAGTGCATTTAACATTACATTTATATCAACCCCCCTCCCTCCCGCTCAATTTTGGAGGCTTCGCGTTTATACCTATTGTGATATCGACAGCGGTAGGCATAGACTAAGACACTTATAGAATGTGCCTGACATTGCTCAATGAGCGACAAAAGATTGCGATTTCAAAGTAATAAATAATGTAAATTTTATAGTCGCTGCGAGCTTAATAAACAAACGGCGTGACTCATCGGCCGAGAAGCAGTACTGAGCTTCTTGGTTTCCACACGGCCTGCATTTCTTAAGCCGCAAGTTACAATAAGTATCACATTTAAAAATCTGGAAACACTTACCATGAAGAAGTCGTGGAAAGTTTCTTACCTGAGTAGATATAAGAATAGAAGGCCCGATAAAGCAGCGAGGAACGCTTGAAAAATCATAGTGCACGCAGAGAGAAATACCGAACCTTGAGCTAAGCATTAGTCAAAGGTTTTGTGGGTGAACGCCGAGCTGCGTAGTTGTTCGAGCAACAAGCGATAATGATGAACTTTCTTATCACGTGGTTCGGCTCCTATCGGTCAAGCTTGGCGAACGGCGTAGACGTCTATACCTTGTAAGAGGGAGCTGTTTACTGACCCCTATATGAAGCTGAAAAAAAAAAAACAATAGTTGGTTCTTGTTACCTCAGGCTTCTTGTCGCCAAGCCTGAAGAACGCGAGACAAACTACGAACTTGGCACAAGTTTGGCAGTCCGATAGAATCCTAAGTTGAAGCTAATAATTAGTAAAGTACCGAATCTGCCAAACTTATGATTCGTCAACCTTTGAAGGAAAGTTCGGCAAAGATTCGGTGAAAATTCCGCAAATGTCTGCGCACGCATGAGGACGCGACGGGGCCATGGATTGCAAATGGCCGCCATGCGGTCGTGCGGTAACCATCGTACAGTGTAGTACTACCAGCCGTTAGGGCGAAGTACGGAGTAGGCCTCACGGTAACTGTGAGCTTTTGAGCCTTTGCGAGTGTTGTTCTCTTCAATATTTTCTGCCTCAAGAACAGAAGATCAACCGGTAATTTACGCTGTCCACAGCGCAAGTGACAAATTATGTGGTACATTCTCGATAGCGTGATTTTAATTTGACCTTTGCAATGATGCAACAAAGTAGTTCAACATTGACTGACAATTACTTTAAAGCACTCCTCGCAATTATGAATCTTGTTTTCGGCTCACAGGTAGTTTATAATTATAATTATAATAATTGTTTATTGCTACCATCATAGAAAAGTTTGGTATTGCGGATGCATCAAAGCCAACACGTGGCTTGTGCGACGCCATCCTCCAATAAAAAAAAACGATATGTAGCATGGGTAGTTACTGAAAATACAATAATATAAACCAGACAAAAAAAAATGTAAACATAATTCCATGAAGTTTGGGCTAAAGCAAAGTAATATTGCTTTTTAATTATCGTTATTGCGCGGTTTTCGTGTAGTTCCTTAAAACTAAACACAGAACTATCATGCTCGACATTGCACATCCGATATTCCTAACTCTTATTATCTTCATAAACGCCCATGTGTCTCCTAACATCAGAAACCGGCATTTTAAAGGTTAAAAACGAGCGTTGCGAATATGGGACGCACACTTTCATGCAAAGCTGACGTCAAGCGACTCAAATCGAGAAACATGCATATTTAAAATATTATCGTTATCTCAACCGGTGAAGGCTCACCAACCGTTGCATTCGTTTTCGCGGACGAAACGGTAACTCTCAGAGTAAGAAAGAACTCAATGTTATTGCCTTTATTTTAACAATGTACACAGACACGCAGGCTGGCGCTGAACAGTCAGGACTCAAAACCGAAACTATTATTGTATCGTGTTTCGCGACTGCGTCTGCTACTGCCCAGCCTCGCTGTCACGCCACTTCTGCAAGAGGTCACTGCAAAATTGACAGTAAACACACAAAAACGACACCAATACAATCATAATATGCAATATTACCTTATTGCGTAATAATTGTTTATATAAGACTACATGTTGCATTTAAAGTAATAAAAAACATTGCTCAAAACCTTTTTTCGCCAGAAAGAAACTAAATATCAACGTTAAGTATGGTAAAAATGTACGTTTGCCGAATCTTTGCCGAATCTTTAGAAAAGTCTGGCAAAAGGTCGGCTTTGCCGAGTCCTAAGATTCGGCGCCGAATTTGTGATTGGGCAGAAGTTCGAAATATCACTACTTAAAAGCTTTTGCTTCAAGGCGTCAGTTAATGCCGAAGTATTTTTTGCGGGGTTTCGATTGCTCACCAGATATTTGCAGAGGTGCCAAACCTGATCCAAGGGTGATACGTATAGACCAATCAAGCAGCACATCCTTTTTGGACCATCATCGGCCCACCACTGGCAAATATTGGCTTCAATATTGGCCTAACATTGGTTTTCTCGAAAGCGCTACCCTATCAAATGTTGGAGCATTCACTAATGCCAATGTTCGACCGCGATTGAACCAATATTTAAACCAACACTGGACTATCATTCATGCCATTGTTGGACCGCTTTTAACCCAGATTAAACCCACATTCGGCCACAAATCAAACAATACCCAAGTTATCATTGAACCACCGTTTGGGCTAGTTAGTATTTTATGATTAAAAATTAAAAAAAGAACAAAAAAACGCTAAGACACGGATAAGAACGAGAAGGTAGAACAGGGTGCTGACTTACAACTGAAGTTTATTTGTGCAAACATCGAGTATATATACTGCTACTTCAAAACAAACAAACCATAAAAAAATACATGACATTGACGCCACGTTCTCCTTAAGGCACAGTCACCCTCTAGTATTGTGCGTCTAAAAAGCAACATTCTTTGATGGACGGAGATAGTGACGGAGCGTTGACACAGTTTCTAGCTAATCTGCCAATTTCCCACACTTCAATAATTTTTCGAGTGAGTTTATCTTTTTTTTATCTCCTCACATTAAAGAGCAGGTCCTCGGAAGATTGGGAGAAAACTGGGTCAGCACTCCATCACTACCCCTGTGCGATAAAGGGTGCTAATTTTTAGACGCACAGTAACAGCGCGTGACAGTAGCCTGAAGGGCGCCTGAAAAATAATATTTTTTTTGACAGTCTGGTTGGGACACACGTGTCTAAACATAAATCTTAAGCAAAAAAAAAAAAAAATGTGGGCAATATTTACGGCGAAAGATTTATTTGAAATTCTGCGTGCAAAATCCATGACGTCACGGAATGCTCATTCGCATCTTTCCGCCTCAACGTGAAGGTGAAGACGATTCCCTTCTCCTCAGCGCACCCGAAAATGAAGAGAGGGACAAGTGGAAAGGAGGTGACTACCAACAAAATCGCCTCTCGCGCTGTTAATATCTCTCCGTTTTTTTTTTTTCGCGTAGAATTCATTTGTGAACACGCGTGTCGCAACCAGACTGTTAAAAAAAATTTTTTTCAGGAACTTTTTAAAGGGGCACTGACTGGGTATTGATGCTCGCTAAGGTTTTTGTTTGTACGTTACATATGAGAGCCCCAACTAGCCAGCAAACTATTCGCGGCTCGAAATTTCTTTCTTTCCGACCGGAAAAAGCCGATCGAGAACTCGCCGGTTGGAGTCGCGCTAACTCTCTTCTCCATGGCCACCTGCGTTTTCTATGGTTTAGAGACAACCACCAAATATAATCAGTCTTAGAAAATCGAAGGCACACACAGACAATTTAAAAATAGAAAATAAATATTTTTTGTGGCTTCTAAAAAGCTGCGAATGCGTTGTTTGGGGAAACAAAAAGTATCACAGCCACGCGACTGCCAGCAACTCTCTCCTCCTCTATATTTATTGTTCCTCCTCAGTCCAGTTTCGGTTTTGGATTCGAGCAGTTGCATTTTTTTTTACTTTATCAAAAGCAAACATGACGCTGTAGCAAACAATTGATTAGATAGCCTTCTAACACCACCATAACCCGCATGGCAAAAAAGAGAAAAAAAATGGGGGGGGGGGGGGGGGGTGTCAGTGTCTCTTTAAAAAGCACGTAGCGTGTCCCTGTCATGTATTTTTCATGGTTTGCTTGTTTTGACGTTGCAGTATATATACTTGATGTGGGCACAAAGAAATTTCAGTTGTAATATATAATAATCTTGAGTATTCTAGTATACAACAACAGCATTTCCTTCTAAAACAAATAATGCGCAGGTACGACACCACAGCCGGCTTGCTAAAAGCAGCGTCTTAGCTGAGACTGTGAAGGAAAGCACTGCAAAGGCTGGGGCGCGTGAGCCTCTTGAGACGCTTTTGGAGTCGCGCTCAGCTCGTGCGCTGCCTTTGACTCTGCTTCATGTTTCCGCCAGTCTCAGCTGAGACGCTGTTTCTAGCAACCCGGCCCAAGCGTTTACTGTCGTTTTGTTCATCCGACTTGTCCTAACTCAGAACACAACTGATACAGATTAAAATGCTGGAAGTGAGTGCAGAAATTAATCAAACACTGTAAACGACTTAGTTGTCGGCGGCTCGATATTTCGTGGTTTAGGTCAAAGCTGAAATTATGGAATAATTCGCGGGTTCTAATTTTCGCGACACGGTGTGATCTCGATATAGATTCCAATGTCTTCACATTCCACAGGAATCGTTGGTGGGACCTATATTTCGCGAATTGTAGACAATTCGCGAAATTCGCAAAAATTTGGTCCTCGAGAAAATTAAGTCGTTTGCAGTAGTAGGAAGGTTAATCCATCAAGTGCTTAGCCCTATATAATGAAATATAATGGAAAAAAAAAACATTGTCACAAATCGTACAAAAGAAACAACCGCATCTCCATGTGGTGAATGATGTTGATTTGGGCGAAGCTCTGGTGGTGCTGATGATACTGATTTTGTTCATAGGTAGTGCTGATGGTGCTGATCTTTTTTTCGTCTATAAACGTTGAGCGGATGCATGCAAAGTTTAACGCGATTATATACGCATTTGACCGAAGCGCCCTCTCCTGTATAGACTTTGAGCGGCTACATGCAACGTTTCATCCATGACAGAAACCCCAGCTCTTGAGTTACTACCACATCTCAGGGCCCCCTACTCGTCCCGCAGTCGCGGCCGAGCGGTTAGGGCGATGGACTAGAAATCCATTGGGGTCTCCCCGCACAGGTTCGAATCCTCTCGGCTGCGCAAATATTTCTTTTTTCTTTTTTTAAGAAGACATGTGTTTAATATTGTCTAAGGGTGCATTACCATCTATGGTGGAAAAAGGCGATTGTTCCTATACTCAAGGCTGGGGATCCTTCGCAGGTTGGGAACTATCGCCCCCTGTCCTTCCTATGTTATTTTGCAAAGGTATTTTAGTTAGTGGTGCACGCCCGTCTTTCTTTTTATCTTAACGTATCAGTTCTCATCAGCGCGGTTTTATCAAGGGACGCTCCGTCGAGACAGACCTTTGTACCTTTCTTGACAATTCAGTACTTTTTTTTTTTGTGGAATCGCGGTCAAGTTGACGTTGTTTATTTTGACCT